TTCTCACTTCTGCAAGTACAGAAAGTACAGAATTTAAAGCTGTAGCAATTTTTTAGTGTTTTGCATTTCTAAAAATTAATAAATTATAAAGTTTGTTAAAAGTTAAATAACTTAAAAAATTAAATGGAACACTCTATTTTTTATTTTTGCATCTAATAGATTGATAAATTGACTATATAAAAAAATAAACTTTTAATGTCTAGAATTGATAAATAAAAAGATATTTAACATTCAATATTAATTGTAGCAACAATGCCTAACAGTATCTGAGCATTGTTGATACTATGATGGCAACAATAGTAATTCCACCATGGATCACTTATCCGTTGATTTATCCAGAAATTGTAAAAGTCGTTATAAATACTGAAATTCGAATTATTTTATTGTAAAAATAACGAATAATAGATTTAGTTTAACACAACTGTGATTATTAAGTTCCATCTCTTGTGCACTTTTTGGCTACTGAAACAATAGTAATTATTTTTTTTAATGTTAACGTTAAATATCTTTTTAGTCATTGGTCATATACACCTAAAAGTAAATAATTTTAGAAAGACAATTTCATAATTTTTTAAACGCAAAAACAATAAATAGAGTGTTCCATTTAAATTTATCAAGTTATTGAACTTTTAAAAAACGCGTTCATTTTTTTACCTTTGCAAATGCACTAAAAAAATGTTACAACCTTATAGTCTGTACCTTCTTCTTTGCAGTAGTAAAAAAAACATTTGTAGATGTAGAAGTTTTTGTGTAATAAATTTTTAAAAAGTGCATGTTTTCGTCAAAAAAACTGTCTTATTTTTAAAACTAAGCAAAATCGACCAATAAAAGTTTAGTTTAAAAATCATTAAAATCTACATCCAAAAACGCTAAGAAACATATGGTGTTTCATTAAAAAAACACAGTTTGTATTGTAACTTATTTTTGAGACACGCTGTATGTTGAAAATAAATTTAGACGATGGACTAGATTAGTATCTATTAATGTGCTATATATATTTTTTTAATTTTATCATTTAAAGGTCACTAAAGGACTTTTTCAACTCGCTGGGACACCCTGCATTGTTATAAGGCATTTTTTCAGTTATTAGCAGGATACGAGATTGACATTCTGAGTGAATAAAGTTTAATTAATAAATTACATATTACCTACTTAATTTTTTTTGTCATTTACTAAATTTAAAGTTGAAATGTGTAGTCACATTTTACAGTCTCCTTGTTATTGTTTATCATATACAAAAATTGACAATTATGAAAATAATAAAAACTTTAGCGAAAAATAGTTTTTACAAAAATGTAAGCATTATTAAAAAAAATTATATTAAATTTGTTCACTATGTACTGAATAAAATAAACAAAAAAAAACAAAAGACACTAGTAAAAAGAATATTTTTTTAATTACTTTGACAAAGCAAACTATTATCAAAAAATAAACCTAGAAATTCTCCCTAGTGCTACGCAGTAGATCGCCAAATTTCCTCGAATTTTCTTAACATACGTAATAAACATGGCAATAATTAACGTGAAGAAGGCCGAAAACCTCTCCAAGGAGCGCCATTTGTGCACAGATGCGCGTGAAATGTACGACACATTAATTTAGTATAACCACTCTTCTACCGCCTGTCAGATTATAGGCCTTTCGCATTAGGGGAGGACTTTGGAATCGTAAAACCTTCCTTCAAGTTCCAAACGAACAAACGAAAGAATGTCAAAAAATTTCTTTGAACGCATGTTGGGTGTATCCTCTACTTGGAACAGCTTTCTTTCGAATCCATCTGACCATTAAAGAAATTGTGCTAATTCTAAACAGGAGTTATGACTTTCATTTAATCCACTGTCGGCCGAACTTTTGATTTTATGTTTTTATAAGTGCTTTTACGAATTTGGATGTTTAGAGCCGCTGTAAAAGGATCGAGAAAGGTAAATGTTTAACGGCCATCGGAGTTAGTTTATATACCCTTAAATTGACTATAAAATTAAATTACTTTGTATTTATGCCGCACACCCTAATCCAGCAGTGCAGGTAGTCTTATCGGCTATCGTTTGTGGTGATTGGAATTTTATTCTAATTTCTTTGAATAAGAATTCTGAACGATAAATAAAGTGCAGTGCGAGTTGCAACCTCTTCTTTGATATGTTGCTTACAATAGGAGCCATGAATAGGGTAAATGTAGATAGAAGATAATTTTAACGATAACTTTGAAAAAATCGATGCGTGATTTAAATCGCCAACGACAGCCCATGTTTAGAAAGAGACAGAAATCACTTTTCAATCAGATAAAGAGAAACAGACATGTAATAATGACCTGCCTTGTTCCGAACTCCTTAATTACCATTTCTTTTATCTCTCATCTCATAATGGAGTTTAAAATTCTTTTAATATTTCCTTCGGCCAGAGTTGTAGATTTTAATTACATGACGGATCGTAAATTTTTTTGAATCTCAATCCTACTCAATTGGAAATGCGAATTTATTCCAACGAAATGATAAAATCTTTTGTCGTCAACTTCTGTAATTTATATTTGTTATAATTGGGTTATTTCGCTGAATAATACCGAGGGTTCTTAAAATATAAACTAGACGCAATTTACCTGATGCCTGCAATAAACGAAGACAATGGCTAGGTAGATAACAAAGACTTTCAAAGTAGATCTGGCCTTTGTTAAAGCCTCTACCGTAATTAATGAGTTTTCACCATCAACAATTAAATTCATTTAGGTATAAAGATTCATCATATTTTAAGTGCTCTAAGCCATCACACAATGAACAATAATGTATGTTTTTGTAATCACCTGTTTTTTTGTGGGACACTTACAGTTGAAAATATAAATAATGGTTATTGTTTCAAGATTTAAAAAATATGAGTAATGTAATGCAGCGTTTACAAACGTACTTCTGTGTGAAACTCTGCACTAATTCACGCATGAGTGACTGGACTTTGAAACACTATTTTGCACACAAATTTCGAAAGCTATTATTATTTGAAAGAAACAGCGAGTTATTTGGGAGCGGTATTACAAAATAGTAAAATGTATTTCATGCTAAATATTCGTATTTAATTAGTCCAACCGTTTTTAAACATATAATTATTGTGTTAGATATTCGTTTCAGTGTATTAGTCAATAACATAACAGGTAAAGTTATTTTTATATTACAACAACAAACAATCAAATAAAAATTTATTATTTTAGACAGTTTTTTGTAAGGGACATTTAATAGTTATAAAAGTTCTTGTCTAGAAAGTTATTACGAAGGACGTCTGCTCGCCTGCAGATCCTTTTTGCAATTAAAGAATTAGATACACTTATGTACTTAGTTAGAAGTCCCTATCAGAATTTTTTTCTTCGAAACAGCATATTTGTAATGTGGGTGGTCAAAAGTAGGTAGGTATAGTGAATTTCGTCCACACAATTTCTGTGAATTCACAAAAATTCACTGTACCTAGTCTGTGCTTTATTGTCATGATAACTGACATTCAAATAAGTATTGTCAAATTTAATCAAATTTGAACATGCCATGCGTTTAATAAAATAAACATTATCATCTCTCTGGTACAAGAAGGTATGTATGTCTCAAAGACGTGTCTCTATACTTTTGGGTATATCAAGGACACCATTTCAAAGACCAAAGGTAAAAAGTAGCAAGACGCATCGAGCATTCTCTCAACGTGATAAACGTTAATCAAAATTCTGAAACAAGGTTAGGAAAACCTAAAGACTAATTTACACTTTTAATCTGTCCATCACTGTACCTATAAGTTTATGAAAATTCTCAGATTTTATGCTTTCGAAATTGATTTTAAATTTAATATTTAGTAATTTAGTTAATAATACTATACAATATAATCCAGAATGAATGCGGTTTAAACACTGCAACCGGACATGGTTTAATTTACAGATATTTAATGTAAAAAATCTCGTTATGTAGGTAGTGAATATTGCTAACTAGTATTCGAATCATAAATCGCTGTTCTAAAGTATGCCATCTTAATAAATATATCATAATTCAGGTTTCAGCGTAAATTCCTGATTTTAGATTTCCAAATTTGAACTTTTGTATAGTACTGTCAGTGACTGTTAGCAAGTGTAGCTGTCAATGTTAGGTTACAGTTGGAGACAAAATATTTTGGTCGTCACTTTTCTGACACTTTAATGTAATTCAAGCTTTAACGTTAAAATGAATGTCAATTTCAAATTAATGACAACAACTATGATGATTGACAGTAGCTAAAAATAAGGTTAACAGTCCTAAAGCATGCTTTACAATTTAATGTCACTTAAGTGACATTGACGACCATAGAATTTTATCTCCAATTGTACCAGAAGTTGGAATAACCAGAGATACCATTTAAAAATTAAATTCAGTATTGCCAACAGACTCGGAAAACAGGAAAACAAATCACAGTGCTTAGGTAATTAGTCGGATATATATTGATTTAATTTTTTTATCTGCTACCTATTTACAGTCATCTCTCTCACTTCCTGGTGTAATTTGGGCGTAATTGGGCATTGTAAGTCGCTTTTTAGGAATGCATTAAAACTGAGGTGACTGTACTTATTTTTATAGATTATAAATTAATATATAAGTTTGATTTATTGTTAAACAATTTTTATCTTTTATTTAAGTACAAACAAAAAAGTAAGGTATAGAGTATTTAGTTTTTATTAAGTAATTGATTAATTATGTAATTCTCGCTTATTACTAGTTTTATTACGATTTTATTGACTTTATGACATTAAATCACTAAATTTAAACTAAAAGTTTTATTTAAAGTATGTGGTGTCATCTGTGAACCAATAGCTCCACAAGTTTATTATAGTGTGGAGACAAACCTACTCACAAAAGGACAAAGCTGTCAAATGCTCTCAATGTTTCCAACCTTTAGATAACAACGGGAAACATTTTCCATTTAATTTACGAAACGGTAGGTTATATTATAGCGTGCTTTATTCGAATTAGTTGTAATTATTTTGGTTTATTTATTTTATTGTATTTGATATTTTATTGATTTAGTTAGTCTTTTTATGTTTCTGCGGGTGGCCTTCCTGCTGGTACTAGAATTTTTTGTAGGTTATGTTCGATGGAAAATTATTTCCCGGTATTGCAATACAGTAATTTTCTCTTCAATGGCAAGTAGTCATGTAAATTAGAATGAGCAAATACTATTATTTAGACATTTCCTTGTTAGTATATTTTAGTTGTTCATTTTATTCTTCCACGTATGCCCTAGTTTTGGTACTAATAATTTTCTGTCTTCTTGCAGGAGGTTGCACGATAATCCCGACTATGAACTAACAGTCGTGTATTTTAAGAAACACATAATCGGTGCAGTGTCTGAGTTATTTGGAGAAGCTGCAACTTGTATAGACATAGACGTTCTAAAGTACAATTCATTAACTCGACGTGGTATATTAAAAGTACCCGCCGAATACTACGTGAAAATTCGTAGTAGTTTAACGCTGTGTGGTAGTTTTAATAACGTCATTTGTTCCTACAAGATTCATAAGGCTAGCCCACTTTTGCTGAATCTGCAGGGTGACAGTAGAGAATACGAGCATTGAAATGTCTTACTGCCAAAGATTAGGGCCTGAGGGCAAAGATATAGTTATTTTTGCCACTCCAGAGGACCATAAGATACCAAGTAGTGTCACTCTACCCGAACCTGATCCCCAACCAGGGTTGATTCTTCCAAACGGTGACATCAATTGGAATTGTCCATGTTTAGGTGGGATGGCGACTGGGCCCTGTGGGGTTGAGTTTAGGAATGCATTTAGTTGTTTTCATTATTCTGAAGCGGAACCTAAAGGTGAGATTTCCTAAAAATTAGTTTACTTAATCTAATTGCTTTTTAGGTAGCGATTGCTATGAACTATTTAAAACAATGCAAAATTGCATGCAAAAATATCCCACTTTATATAACAAAGATTTAGCCGACGATGACGACTTTAGTTCTATGGATTCAGATAAAAAGGAATCAGTTGAAAAGAGCGCAGCCCCAATTTCTGATAACGCTGCAAAGTCAGACAAAAAATCATAAGAACTTAAAATGTAATTAGTTTTTGTTACAGTTAGGGGACAATCTTTGCTAATTTGTCTAGTTTTTTTCTAATTGTTACATGAATGTTACTACACAATTGTAACGTTTGAAAGAATTTTTTTTAAATAAATTTATTTTGTATTAAATTTCTGTTGCTCTTTTAGACTATTCAAAACTTAGATTAAAACAAAAAACTATTTTACAACATATTTCCTTTAACATGCATTAAAGTTGTTTATAAATATTCATACAAAATATCGGATAACAATTTTTAATTAACAAAACCATTAATATTTGTGTTTTGTGTACTCAATGGAAAACAGTGATTTTAATAGGTAGGTAGAAATTAAAGCAAACTGTTATTTTAATCGTTAGCATCACTTAACACAGTCACATTGAAAAACATGTCACATTTGATTTTGTCTCGATTTTGTAGGTATTAAATTTGAAGTCGTTTCTTGTGCTGCTAATGCTAATATTTCAGGCGAATCTTTGAGCAAAGCTTCATCTCACACATTCATATTTTTCACAATTATTTTATTTAGGTATTAAAAAAGTGAAACGGAAAGGGTGGTGAAGCCAACGCCTTCTCGAAGTGATTAAGACAAAATGGGGAAAACGGAAATTATCTAATTTATTAATTTCTATTTTGTTTTAGATATTTTTCTAAAAAATTATTTTTTAATTCAAACCTTATCATTGGGTACATCAAAAGTAGTGTATAAAAACTGAATTGTTATACTAGGAAACCTTCAGTTTTCTTTACTTGTAAAACAATCTACTAAATATAGTTACATGAAAATTCAAGGATTCTAATAAAATAACATTGGAAGAGGAAAAAAATATAATGAATAAATATTATGTTATTATAACTGTTTTATTATTTATTATCTACACAATCGTTAAATTTTTTTCTGCATAATGAGATGTGGTGTAGAACTAAGTAGGTAAGTATGTATAAATAATTGAAAAAAATTAAACCTTAAACGAAGCATTCTTTTTTGATATACAGTGTGAGGATTTTGTAAAATTGCACAAAAATATTAAGAATTTGTTGCAGAAACTTCTTAAAAGTATGCAAAGAATTTGCATTTTTGTATATTTTATTGAAACATGTTATGGACATTTTTTATGTTATGCTGTAGAGTCTAAAGACTTAGTGAAGCAAAGATAATAAGAAAATAATGCTTTTTTGGTCAATTCTCAGTTGTTGGGTTCTATTTTGTAAGAGTTTTTAAATTTAACAAGGAAATAAAACGTTAATCCAAAAAAATAGTGTGGTTTGTTTTTACATTATCAAATTTGAAAGGCTTACTAAAAGAGATTTCATAATTTATTAATAAGCTTATAATAACTTAGTAATATTGGAAATAGGCTTATTCGATATACTGCAAGAAAGAATTATCTGCGACGATTAGTTATTTAAATAAAGCGATAAGCACTGCAAGTAAACTCTAAATTGTTCCACCCCACCCACACAGATGTTATAAGTACGAGAAATATGTAATCCCACATTTTATTCGAGCTTCCTCCTTCAACCTCCAAGGTTGTATGTCAAATGCGAAAGGAAAATTCAAACCTCCCGCCTTCCATTAGTTGCCATTTATTCCAACAGCTGTCGGGAAATGCAGTTCATGTTGTGGAACGAACGTCACAAACAGAAAGTTAATGTTCTCTTCAGAAATTGTTATTAGTGTTGTTTTGAGTGTGTTTTGAATAAAGGATTGAAACGTTAGTGTCCTTCCTTAGCAGTGACTAAGAAGAACACAGGTATTATGGAAAATAAAACGAAAACAGCACCGAAAGATAAACGCAGGTTAGTGAAAATACAATAGACCAACCTCTTCCTGGTGTTTTCGGGGGGTAATTAGCCAATTACTCTTCAACTAAATTGTTATTTATCGGAGTCTAGAGTTGTTAAAGCCGATGGCATCGGCTGGGTGTCGTTGTCAAGGGTATATTTTGACCGACAATTTTCTTTATACAAGAACTAAAGCAACCAACCTACTTTCCCCCAAGACTCCACAACTTTGACAATTTATTATTAGTATCATTCCTGAGTGCTCTGGTACCTATAGACCTGTCCCAAGAATAAATATTCGGGTTTTTAACACTAATTAGGCTCCATCTCGACGTTGAAAACACATTGGGTAATCCAGTGAATTGAGTAATTTCATGTTCTTAAAACAAACTGGTTCCCTTCAGCGAATTAATTATAAATTATGGGATCCTGAACATTTGATACTGTCAGGCTACACTGAATAAATGCAATTTCATCGTAATCGGATGATAACATATCAAATTTTGGTGACTTTTCTCTGGTATATTTCCATTGCCTTGGGTCATTAGGGCTGTTTCAGCTCAGACACTTATTTTTATACACATCAGCTTTAATAATGTAAAGAATTATTCTTTTGTTTAACCATAAAAATTGAATTACACCAATTTTATGCCCATTGAAATCACTAATCATAATAATAGGTAGATAAGGAATGATGCGTCATCGAAATTCTTTTGAATTTTTTGAATTCGTTGCAGTTTTTTTTTGAATATTGGGGTCAATGGCATTTTTAAATTTTGTATTAGATACTGTCATGCTCTATTTATCGGTTTCTAAGAGTTTTGTTATCACCAATAAAAACAGCACAAAAAGCAGTTTCGGAAAATATTAGAAATTCACAGTGTTAAACGAAAAAAATTTGTTTGTTTTGAATAATGATAATATTTGGCAAAACTTATTTTACATATTTTGCCCTTGGCGAACAAGAAGTTTAAAATATTTGCATGCGTTCTAAAGTTAGTGAAGGATATTTTTTGAATTCAATGCAGCATTTTTTGTAAACATGTTCATATTGTTTATAGAAATAAAATATTCAATCAAAGAGGTAACCATATAAGTTGCAAATCATCTCAGAGTATCGTCTTTGTAGTGTTTTTTTACCAGATTAATTCGACAAAGGGTTACTTACCTATCCATATTTTTGTCCAAGTTAAGAAATAGGAAGAGTCAAATTTGTAAACTGTTACAGGATGTAGTATAAAAGATTTATTTTCATTTAAAACGATGTGGAAAGTTGTTCTTAACTTTAATACTCATAAATCAGGATTAGAAAAGGTATCTTATTTATTCATCCCTGACAAAATCTGAATTACTGAATTACAAAGGCAGTTTGGTGGTTAGTAAAGTAATTTTTTTTAACGACATAGTAAATTTAAAATAACTTTTGTTAAGTACTATAAAAATATTTGAATATAGGAATATAGTTAGTCATTGTTTGAACTTTCTTTGCAAAAGTAATTTGTAATGTTTTGTGAAATGTACTTTAACTGTTGGACTTATAAGTTGCCTTTCCAGATTACATTCAAATAGTAACTTTTATTTACTTTGTCAACAAGACTGTAAAATTTATTATTACCCAGAGCGTCTATACCTAAATTAGACTAAGCAAATAATTTTGTTGGATTTTCTTATGAAACATTTTTCATTTGCTTAAATTTGATTGTTTTAAAATATGTATATGTAGTTTCTTTTTGTTGGCGATACAATTTCATTTGTTGCTCATGTTATGTTCCCCTTCAATTGGTGGCAGGTTCAAGGTTCGAATTAAGATTAAAGGGAACAATGCACTTGTATGAAAAATTCGACATTGACTCTAGTTTGGGGGCAAAGCAATTTGGAGAGAATTAAAATATGTATCCTGTTAATTTGTAAACCCAAAAGAATTTTATTGAGTCATAAAATGTGTACTTTCAGATTTGATTGATAAAAGTATATAAAAAGCTGCTTCACCAGATGTACTTTTCCATACTTCTATGAAAGCGAAGTGTCAAAGAATTAATTATAACATACATGAAAATTGCACAAGAGATATCTTGCGAAACTGATAAGTTTGACTGAAAGCTCATCAATTTTGCATGAGTTTCAACTAAAAAAATTAATTTTGTTATTATTTTTCTGATCATTGACCTTGTTCGTTGCATATTTTTTTTTTGATAAAAATAAGGTGGAATTTTTGAAATAATGACTGGTATTCTTCTACCGTTATGAAATTATTAAACCATACATAATTATAAGTACTAGTTACGTTCAGAGAGAGAATTTTATTGATACCCTGATATAGTAATTATATTGCGAGAAAGTGATTTCTGAGAAGAGACAATTTTTATTGCCAATTATTTTTATCATTTGCAAAAACTTTGACACAGATTGTTATTATATTTCTTAGAATTATTTGTAGATATTTTGTATTTTGAAGGAGTATTTCCTGTATGAAATACGAAACATGTAATGCTGCAGTTTTCTTGAGTTTCGATCAAAGCTGGGTTGTTTCCCAAAAAGATTTTGTCGAATACATTTTTTGTAGGTATACCTAATAGAAATTCCGGTATTTTCATAATTTTTTTAAAACAAAATTTATCTATGGATTACGAAATGGGTATATTCCTGTCATAAAATGATTTGTTTAAGTTAGGAGTCATTACATTGACAATGTTTTATTGTAAGTCTGACAGATTAGGAATAGTTTATTTCAAATAAATAATTGTCGTCCACACAAACGCATGTTTATTTCAGTTTAGATAAGATTTTCTCGGGACAAATTTGTTTTTAATTATGTCTTGTAGTGTGATGTAAATAATATTCAAATACTTAACTGTTGGCATTCATCTGAGTATGAAACAATAGTGTACACTTTTGCTTAAATATTCACATCTTCAAGAGTTAACCATCCGATTCCTCTAGAAATTTTTATGAATCCGTAGATTATAAATGAAGGGTAATTCCAGTATTGTTTATTGTATTGTGTCTTTAAGTTACCTTGATAATGGATGTATCATGGTTCGTTGTTTGACGTCATTGGACGCAATATAATCATTTCTGTTTAAGTAGCGGCTTCAAATATGAACAGCAGTATGGCTGACCTATTTCTTCGTTAATCATTCAATAACGATCCTAATAACACATTAATTTTGACAAATTGTGTGTTTGATTTGGTATTATTTAAAGATCTAACCAGATAACATTTGGTGTTAACAATGTAAAAAATATAAAGCACTACATATTTTTAAAAACCGCTGAATTGTTGGAACATTGTGATTAGACAAAAGAATTTTTTTTCATTTGTTACATGTTATATGGTATTTGTTTTTGTTTTGATTCAATTTTTGGGTCACTTCTTTACTTCCTTTATTTATACAGAATGGCAAAACCAGTTTCATAGTTTTTTATGTACAAAATTAATTTGAAACAACTTTTCATTATTATAAAAGTAGGAGCAAAACTTCTTGTTTTGTAGTTTAATATAGCTGCATATATTTTGATAAAATTATAAAAACGAAGGTTGTTTATTGATATCATGGTCATTTATTTAATTTTGATTATAAAAAATGTTCTCCTTTGGGTACTAATTATTACTTTTGGAAGAAATTGTTGAAATTATTGAAAAATGCTAGTAATTGTTTCAGCTATTGTATTGTAATTATGTACTACATTTTCTGATCAAACGGTTATATTATTAGTGTCACTATTTTTAATTTTCTTGCGCACGAAGCTGGTATATTTGCAACAAGAACATCTTTGTGTCAATAATGGATAAATTATAGTGGTTATGATTTACAATTACATTATTCACTGATAAGGAAGTGTACAATTTAAATTAAAACTGAGTAATCTACAAGTGTTTATATAATTTGTAAATTTGTTTGTTACCTTTGAATCGCATGATCGTATTATCTTCAATAATAAATCTGATTTGATAAAATGATTTTTCTTATAATCTCACTTAGTTTAGTTATTTTGCAAAATTTCAAAACAAACTTTTTTTATGAAATAGCAGATTCAGAAATTTTATAACGGAAAAGATTATAAAAACTTTGTTACGCCAACTTAACATTTTGGAAGCGTTTAGAATTGCTTGATTCTTGTCTTTTGTTATGTAACAGATTTATTCGATGGACATAAACCAAGTGTAAAATAAATCTGTTTTTCTCCTAGATTTCATCATTCTGTGACATAAATACCTAGCCAAAATAACAAAATTTTATTTTTCTAAATAAACAGTTTTAATAAATCGCTCTATTAATGTCAATCATTCGAGAGATTAGTTTGAAGGGACGATTTTAATTAATTAATCTTGTCAATATTATAATAATATGTCTATTATTATTACAAAATCAATGCACCGATAATTCTTCTATTCCTTGAAAAAAAAAATAAAGCGTCAGTTTGTAAAACACGAACCATACGATAAAAAAGGATGCAACATTCTGCCGTACATACATTTATATGTATTATGATGTAAGTCGATGAACTTAAATTGTGTAACGCATTTATGATAAATATGCCAAGGTTATTTCGGTTGTTGAAAATTTAGTATTTTAGGTGTTAGTTCTCGTATTTGTTGCAATTAAAATGTACAACCAACAAGTTATCAATTTCATGAAATAAATCGAATTTGGAGGAGTCTGATAGTCTACAAGGTCTTAAAAAAATTTCGTTACATAAACTTTTATCAAAATTATTTGTCTTGTTTATTGCATTTGATAGGTACATATTAGGTGTGTTTTAAGATTACACTTCAAAAATGTATTTTTATCGTCTTTTGATAGAGGTTTACAATAAGATCACGCGATTATTCCATGTTTTTTTACCTTCGAAGCGTTTGTTTGTGAATAAAGTTTGTCGTAGTGTTGCATTTTTGATCTTGAATGTTTGAATGTATGAAAGTTTTTAGGCTTTCACTCATTACCTTATGTATAAATGCAGGTGTTGAAACCATATAATGGCAAAAATTGCTAATTACAAAGAGAGTGCATCATATTGCAATGTGGGAAGTATAAACAAGTCAAGGTCATTTAGTGAATTTGCTCGATCAAATATGAAGATTAGATAATTTCGAGGATACTTTTTAGACTATGATTTGGGTTTGTTAGTTTCTTTGGAGTCTTTACGCATCGGAAAGCTCGTAATAAAGCATCGAAGAACATAATTAATTAAAGAGTTTATTACGTTATTTTGTCTCATTTACCTTGATCAATGAGGTGATGCGAGGAATGAATAAATACAAACCACAGTCTTCCTGTTTGTAATATTTCCATTTGATTCTGTTCCGGTATAGTTCCGAGCTTTGAATCAAAATCATCTGTTTATAGTCGTCCAACAGGATGCAAGACACCGCAAAATGAATGCATATGCATCTCATATTATGCAATTAATTTCGGTTTTAAGGATCAAAACTTAGTACTTGTCTAGAAATCAAGTGGTTACAGATTTATCATTTTTAGCACGTGTCCGTCTTTTTGATGCAAATTTTCCGTTTTGGAATTGTTCGTTGCGTTTATTTTTTTGAATGGTAAATTGCTTTGTGCACTTGTCCACATCCGGTGGTTTGCAAACGTGTGCAAGTAGTCAGTTTGTGGCCTGATGGAAATAGCAAGAGCATTGAATTGTGATTGTATTATACATATAGCCTTGTATGTCTTGTACAGACGTCATCACCGATGTCGCAAAATTGTTTGGCGGGGATGCAGACTTTGGATAATTTCAGTGACGATTGATGGACATCAGAGGAATTTTGTTACGTTAATCGTTCTAACTAATGCTTTTAAAATTCGAAAATTTTTCAAAGTCGTTAAAAATAAATTAATTTTATGTTAAGTCATATTCGGAATTGATTACTTGTTGGTAAACAGTCGGTGCTCGAACTAAATTATTTTAAATAAAACGTTTAGTTAAGGTTTGGAATAGCCTTGATGCTGTTAATGTCAATATAGTTTTATCAAAGCTACTTGAAAGAAATGGCAGGAAAAATCGCTCTTGAGGCACAAAATTAATCGTTGATAATCTGATTTGATGCAAAAATAAACTTTCTCTTTATTGTTTTTTTCAATTAGTTTATAGATTGACTTGACATATTTATCAAAAGATTAAAAAGTGGAAGCTTTCAGGGCTTTGGAAAAAATTAATTAAAATTAAAACAACCGTTTCTTTATTTTTGATCGTAAAAATAATTTCAAAACGATATGATATTTCAAAAATCTGATTTAATAATTTCTAGATTTTGGTAGATAGTTATAATAGCTTTCCGTTCCAATAAATTTTAATACGAATCTGGTAACGTTTAGATTGCGATAAGCGTATTGTTACATTGTATCATTAGGACGATAGTCTGAAGTATGGTTCAAATTTATCATCTGGTGCTACGTCTACGATAGTAACAATTCCGTTAGATTGAGGTCGTCATACGATAGCAAATTATTTTTGTACTTTACAATGCCTTAATTTTTCCCTTGTTTAAAAAAATATTTTTATGATATTTACTTTGTAAAGGTAATTGCAATGCAACATTCTGTAAATATTTGGTTTGTAGTGGTATCCTCGTCGGTAATTATAGGTTTTGCTATAACGTCTAAAATAGGAATAGTTTTTCTTTTCGCACTTTGTTCATAAAATAAATTTATCACCAAGGTCTACAAATGCTAAATTGTTTGAAGCTTCTTATTATTTCGTGGAATGACTTATCAATCTCTAATTGCCGAGATTGCTGTATTATTAACATGATTTGCATGTTGAAAAACAGAGCTTTGATTTTTACAGCGCTAAAACGTTACTTCTATCACGTATTACTTAATAATGTGCTGCATCTTAATTATAGTTTTCGTGGAAAGCTTCGCGGTTCTTACTAAAGTAAATGGGATCACACTTCTCGATTTTAAGAATCAAGAATTTATGTCGTAATAAAATAATTTTTATTCTCAGGAGATACAGGGTGATTCTTAAATAGACCGACAAAATTTTATCCTTGGTAGTATCAAATGAGAACATGCTGGAAAAAATATTTAAAAAATCCTTTGTTTTAACGTTCTTTAAATAAAGTTTATTAAAGTTATTTTCGAAGTAAAGCGTACGCCACTGATGTGTTAGCACAGGTGGTGGTAACCATGGTATTAACGTACTTGATTATTGCAACAATTCATAAACACCGTAAGTGGCACTGATCAAGGGGGTTTTGCCCCTAAAAGGTATAAACATAAAAAGCGTAAAGTTTGTCTCCATTTAACCTTAGGAAGATGTGATAAAATTTTGTCGGTATATTTAAAAATCACCCTGTATTTTTATTAGCTGAAGAGACTACGATTATAGGCTTCAGTCTGAGTATAATTGTCGTGGTGGAAATCTTCATGGAAGAAATATTTAGAGTTTGTTTTTAGTTTCATATTTTTTATGTATTCTGTGGACCATTTAAAATCCTGGAAGCCATATTGAAAGGCATATTAAGGGTGGAATTTATTAATAAAAATAAAGATTATCTATTGAATGAGTTTATAAACGTAGAATAATAGAGGGGTTTGGAATACAAACTATTGGTTATTTTGTCGCATATAACCCCATTTTTTATCTTTTATTCATGAATCCTAGCCATTACTTAAATGTATAATGTTATAAGCATCATTCAAGTTTCTGCAATATAGCTATTTGCATGATAATAGCGAGAAGAGTTGAAAGACGAAAGTGGACTGTTTAACGAAAAGCTGTTGACAAGCGTCATTGTAACATTAGAAAATCAGTAAATATGATACATTTTCAAGTATAAAAGATTAGATAAGCCAGAAGACAGTACTTAAGTCTACGGTTAAGTTAGTATCACCTCGTCTAATACATAATGTAGGTTAAATTCGCGTTTTTGCGACTTTTAGGCACGTGTCAGTTGAATATAATGGTGTTTTGCAAAAGTTTAGTCGATTTTTAAAAATACGAATCGAAAATTTATCGAAATGGAGTGTAGTACATTTCTGCAACAAAATTCACAAACGCATCCTTATTTGGAAAATGTGAATAGTCCGAACGGTTACGGGTTAAGTAATGCAACTCTTGAACCGATTTCAAATGGACATGGTCGGATTAGACCAAATAGTCTCTTAGCCCGTATGGCGTTACCGTGCCAGTCGTCCTCCAGTTGGGATTATACAGAGTGTTATAGTTATTATGCAGATGGTTGCTATAACACTTGCCAGTTTGTTGAATTGGGTGATATTGAAGACTTCATGTAAGTTATACAGCTGATCAAATATATCAACGATGAAATGTGACAAATAGTTAAAAGTGTTATTTTTTTTAGGCACTTTGAAAATGTTTGATTGAATTATTTGCATTAGATAAAGGTTATGTAATCGGTGCTAATATGCATCAAAGGGCAAGTTTTTATTCTATACTTGACCATGGGCTTGGATAGTTTAATTTTAATTATCAGTCTATTTAATTTACTATAAATTTTATTTGTTTCGTTACTAAATTAATGGCATAATAAATTGCCGATTGATATTAGAGGTTAGATTTTATCAGTAGCTGATTATAGTTTAGAGTGTCACTTTTACTATCGCCATGGGATTATTTTCTTGTGTAATAATACTAGACAGGAACGTTAATTAATAAATAAATGTAAGAGATTGGGTAAACACTTCCTAGTCTAATTCATTGAGGAGACCGCCATTTTTTAAAATTTTGTTTTTCTTTTTTCTAATTACTAGTTTCGCTTCTATTCGTAGCAAAGCGGATTTAAACAGCTGTATAATAAGAAGAATAAAAAATAATGTCTACTTTGTCATTCTTAGATTATGTCAATTTTTATGAAAAGTTAGAAAGGAAAATAAATTAATGGCAATAATGACAAGGCATATTTATAATTATATGCATCGCTTTTATTTTTTTTTAATTTTATTAACTTATTTATCACAATTATAAAATCACATGATTAGTATTCATTTTTGTGGTATTCTTGGATAATGTCCAGGCACGGGATCTGTCATGTGTTTTCTCGGGAAACTTTTATATGAGTAGTTTGGGTGACCACTTGAGAAGTAATGATTAAATAATCAAATTTCAGTTGAATAGTAGTAAGAGTCCGTTCAGGATTTATGAACTGTTACAGTCTCTGGGTTAGGAAAAATAATTATTTTACTGAAAATGTTAATAGTGTTTGTTGTTTCATGGTTTACAGTTAATTTTGTTTTTTTTTGTTCCAGGAATAATGAGAAACGAAAGGAAAAATCCAGAGATGCAGCGCGATCTCGTCGCTCTAAAGAAACCGAAGTTTTTACCGACTTAGGTAACGCTCTGCCAATTTCACAAGAACAGGTTTCACAATTGGATAAAGCTTCCGTTATGCGATTAGCCATTGCATATCTGCGGGTGCGGGATATGATCACTTTGGGTAAAACGTTTTTTCCCATTTTAAAATTCCGCTTATTTAATCGAAAAATTTCAGTACCGGAACCTCCGGAACCCGACGACCACAAAATTTTAACCGATGATTCAATTTTCTTAAAAGCATTAGAGGGATTTTTGCTGGTGATGTCTTCAGAAGGAGATATTGTTTATATGTCTGAGAATGTCAGCGAGTATCTTGGAATTTCACAGGTGGATTGGAAATTTGCAATTTTGTGCAATTTATTTGACTTTTTTCTCTTAGATTGACTTGATGGGTCAGAATATTTATGAATACAGCCATCCGTGCGATCATGAAGAAATCAAGGAAATTTTGTCAACAAAAGCTCGTAAAGAGTCAGAGGCGCCTAAATCGTTTTTTATTAGGCTTAAATGTACCCTTACGAGTAAAGGCAGATCGGTCAATCTCAAGTCGGCTACTTACAAGGTATTAATAAGGATAACTAGAGAAATTTTTGCTTATTGGATAAATTCAGGTCATTCATTGCACTGGTCACATTGTGCAAACTGAAGATGATGGAAATGAAGAAAATCCAAAAGGAACTTTACGTCGATGTCTTGTCGCAGTAGGACAACCTATTCCACATCCTTCCAACATCGAGGCTCCATTACCACGTCAAACATTCTTAACAAAACACAGTTTGGATATGAAATTTACGCATGCCGACGATAAAATGTTTGTATTACGTTTTTTAAAGTGTTAATGTGATTTTTACGTAAATTGTTACAGAATGATGGATGTTTTGGGATACGATTCGGAAGATTTGGTTGGCAAATCGGTTTATGATTATCACCATGCTATGGATAGTGATGCGATTTGTTCAGCTTTCAAGTGTTGTAAGTATAATTAAGTCATGTGATAAGAAAAAATGGTTGATTTACAATATTTGCACACTTGGTATGGTAATTATATATAATCACAGCTGCGGTTATTAGACATGCACTGCAAATTAATAGTGTTAAGATTTGGCATATTGCATTTATTTATTATAACCAAGGAGAACAAATATTTAGCGACAGGATATTTAGAACTTTTTTAAACTATTGGAATCAGACGTCACTCGGTTGCATATAACGTTAACATTATAAAAATTACAAATTGAGAAATTTTAAATCATCTCAAGATGTTTGAAAAACACCCATAAAATCTATTCTTTCTTTTGGTGAATGTGTACAGTTTATTTTATTTTCAAAATATTTCACAAGTTTACATAATTGGGTTTATTACCATAGGAAACTTCTATATTTCTAGTGTCAGTAAGTTGCGCTAGGTGGCGCTTTTGCATGAAACTGAGTAAACATTAGGTTTTGCTAGAATGTTTTGTGTAACATTGTAATTTTCGTTAGTATTTTTTTTGATAAATAAAAAGCAAATTATTAAAACAGGTCAAGGAATGTTCCAGAAATAATTAATAATTCGTATCTATAGATGAATGATCAGTGATTATTTTTTGTTATCTTGACGAAATCCTAAATTGTTTTTCTATAATTGGGCACTTAAATTAAGATATGACGTAACTTATTACAACAATTACATTGCTTTTATACATACTTAATTTTGAAAATAAAAAAAACGGTTAAGTTTTCTGAAGTTAAATCGCATCAGAATGTATGGACTATAATATTTTAATAATTGATTTATATTTAGCTTATTTTAGTTTTTGTGTTTTTTAAAAAATAATTGTTCTTTTGTTTTTAATTGTTTCCGACTAAATCTGAAACTTGATTAGGTACATTATTCATAAGTAAACGGTTGAAATAAAGTTGCTTTTTAATTTTTTTCTATTTTAAAATTATGTGAGAATGAGTTCATTTATTAAAAATCACGCTAGAAACATGACTTTAGTTGTAAATTACAATCTGTCTCAAATTCTTGGCAAAATTTTCATTTTTATTTTTGAAGATTTATAAATGATAATAACAAATGTTGTTTGGAAGGCAATGAACGTGTTAAAGGAGTTATAATTATATATGTAGTTATTTTTATTCGCATAATATGTACTTATAAATAATAATCTAAACTAATATTAAAATAAAACATACTTCACACTATTGTTTCAAAATATTCACGATTTGATAAATTAATATTACATCAACTATTTGAAATAATTCACATGCATATTATTTATGCAGACGGTATTACAATGTATGAAATTTCGAACTTCAGTATTTTCGTAAACTTTTTTTGAAGGTTTAAAGTTACAACTTAATAAAAAACACAAACATTACCCAAGTGATAGTAATAACCATAATGTAATTCATAGTTACTCTAGAGCTACCAGAATGTATTGTAGTAAAATTGGTAAAAGTGTTGTTGAATACACTTTTACTACAAGTAAATGGCGATTGATCGGTTTCCGATAATATTGTAGGGTCACTGCTCAGAGTTGTTAAAACATGTTTAACAACACTCAAATCCTTAAGCCGTGTATTATTGTATTTACTTAAAACAATTAACATTTCTGAAAACATTATTTTTAATGTTTGTTACTTAAGAAAACTGGCAATACTTACGGTAGCTTGTATCATATGATAGATTTCGACACGTCCAAATTACGCCATAATTGCTATAATCTGTAGTAAGTATCTTAGCTGGAATGGTCTTATTATCTATTTGCAATTCACACTCTATACTGTGTGGATTTTTTTGAGCCAAAAGACACGTCGTATACTTATAGCCGTCTTTTTTTGTGCCGCTGAAGCGGGTTACATTTGTGAGACTGCCAGAAACGGGTGTGAAAAAATACGTGGCACATTTATCTGGACTACCATATTTCGCTACTTCGTACCATTTTCCTTGAAACTGAGAGAAAGACTAATGGAAATATATACATAACACTCAATATTTACCTGATTAAGAATAAAATTGTAGTTGCTGATATTGTACGAGTTGCAATGTCTGTGCACAATTTTTTCCGTGAACGAAAGAGTAGAACCTAATGTTAAAATTAATACGATCGTGTGCTTCATTTTGAATAAAATTTCTCCAGTGTTATAAAAAGATAATGTTGCACATCTTATACTCGTGTTCAGTGTCATGTTGTTTGTTTACCGAGGAGTGAGAGCATGAATTTAGAGTTAATTACTTCAGTAAACAAATGTTGCAGATTTTATTAATACGGTGTTTGAGATTGTTGTTGAGTAATTGTGCTATCACCTGATTCTTTTGAATTGGTGCCAATGTACGTGAACTTGTGTTTACAAGTTTCGTTTGATTTTATTTTCACTTGGGTATATATACCAACAAGTTCAAATTCACCATCTATTTTAAAAATTAACAAATATTTTGCAGAAATAAATTAGTTTTCCTGCTGGTCGAGATTTTTCCTTCCTAAAGTAAAACAAACGATTACACATTGTGTATATTCCGATAAGACATCATTATAGGTGTCTGTTTTAATACTGTCACTCTTTATTGACATCGCTTCGAAAATTTACCGCATTTTAGATCTTATTATGCTAATGTTTTGATGTTCCCTAATGTATATTTTCCCATTTGTTAATGCATCTGCGGAAGAGCTTTTATGCACAGTGCAGTAAAAATGCAAATTGTTTTATTTTCTTTGGTAAATGTTAAGTAATCTGACCCAAATCATGTTATTTGCATATAAAGCGAGAAGTTTCAACTTAATCATAATTCTTATGCTAGTAACATCGCAGGGGGCTTATTATTGGAAATGGACATGTAATTTTCGGAGGGTGACTCTTTATTAAAATATTTTATCAGCTTTTCAACAAATCTAAGGCCATCTTTTTTAAATTGTAATATCTTTTCTGTAATGTTGTAATAGACTATTTTTATTATTTTAGTTTTTCGCTGAAAATTATGGATGTAGAAATCCGATATCTTATCTTGACTTAAAACGATATTATTACTCTCAGGAGGATTTTTTGTCCGGCTTATATTTGTTGATTTTCTTCATAGTTTGTTTTTTTTATGATGTCCTAAATTTTGCACTTTATTTCTAGTATACTTAATTAATTTCAGGACAATATAAATGGTAGGAACCATCAAAATTTTATTACGATTCATAAGTCTCTTGGCATAATTGTGTTAATTAGGTAAATGGAACATTTGATAACTTTTATTGTGGACATAAAAAGGCTGAAATATTGCGTCTAATAATATTTGGCATTAAAAACTTTCTGAACATTTTTTTTTTATAATTTAATTAAAACATTTTTTTGGTAATGTTTAAAGTATCAACAGAATTTTCTTTAGCAAAAATTGCAATCTTCTTTAGAATGAAAGGAAAAGGGGAAAATCATCCTAGAGCATGCAATTTGCAATAGTAATGAATGTTGTGTATGGCACAGAATATATAATAAAAGAGTCTAAAGGTGTACGTGAGCTGTGAACTGAAAGAAATTGCGCGTAATAAAGACTTCAGTGGAGCCGCTTCTAATTGAACTACAACTGCATTATTCATTCATTCATTTTCATTATTTAAAAATATGGTTTTTGCCAAATTTTCTGGGATAAAATATATGTATTTTACTACATTAAAATTATTTATTTAGCACAATTTTGTAAATTTTTGAAACCTTGTTTTCTTTTTATATGTAATTAAAGATCGTAATTACTTTTATTTTTAAATTTTGCCTTGGCACGTTTTTTGTTTAAATTTTGACTGTTAGCACCTACATTTGTCCAAATTATTTTATTTCTGTTTTATGAGGCATTGTGTCTGAAATTAAGTTTAATATGTCTCTTAGAAATGGAATTAATTCCTTACGCCTGGAATTTTATATGTCGAACGACGTTGTCATTCTTGAGGTGAATTGCTCCCAATATAGGGATTAAGTGTAAAGATTTTAATTAAGAATAAAGTAGGTTAGTTTAACGCATGAAACAACGTTAGATAATAATAAATGATTGTCGTGACTGGGAATAGTTAAATCTAATTTAATATTCTGGAGCTGTCTTAAATTACATGATTGTTCCAAACTGCCGCTACCCGAGTCTTGTAGAACACGTTTTGGTATCAAATTCTTCAAATTTTTGTTAATTCACTTTTACTCTTTGTTTGGAGCTTTATTAAAACTGATTCAGGGAAGTTATAATCCTGTTTGGCATGTATAACTCGACGTCATATTATGTTGAGATTTTCCATTCGAAAGGGAGTTCGTGATATAAATAAGGGATTCTAACATTTGTCAGAAACGCATTCAAGTTAAGTTTTAAATCAATCTCGAATGAGGTTGGCGACTTTCGCGTATCACTTCTGTGGCCGAAGATCTAGATTGCTTGTAATCCCTATGCTGGAAAATTGTCTTTTGTTAAGGATGACTGTCGGGAGTCCGGGGTGAACCGCCTGAAAATAGTCCTTTGTCCTTTTGGTCTTACGTCACAAAGGCGGAACGTGTGACTCGTCATGTAGGAAGCCCACAGCAACAATAATATGCAAAAAAATATGAAGATTGTCTCTACGATGTATTTCTGCCTCTGGTTCGTCATTATGCCGTAACGAGATCGTAAAGAAAGTAACTTGCAATTTTGCAAAATTCAGGCCCTGATTATGACGAACCCTTATCGAGCTTTTCGTGTAAAAGTCTGTTTTACAAAATTGCAGATTTGCGATAATAAAACTGAGATTGTAACTTTCATTGATTTCTCAAAGTCTTTGCTTTTCTCGAGCTTTATTTCGGTCATAAAGTCGGCCGACCATCATAAAATTCCTTGGCACTTTTCTTTGAATGTTGTTATCTGGGGACGGTGTTTGAGGCGTCGCCGTCGCCTTGTCACATGAAATGACTAGTTGAAGGATTTTTTCTGCAGCGTAATTAATAGTTTCGTTTGCCGGATTAGATCAATACTGACCTTAAACTGTGTGCTAAATAATTAAACGTGTGGGCTTTAAATTGAGAAAAGCGAAAGTTCTGGCACTTGACTTGACTAGTACAAATTTTGTATTTTTTCAGTATTTTCCAAAGGACAGTGTGAGACCAATCGGTACCGTTTTCTTGCGAAAACCGGAGGATACGTGTGGGTTCTCACTCAAGCCACTTTGATCAACGACAACAAAACTATGAAACCGCAAAGTGTCGTTTGTGTGAACTACGTCATAAGGTAAGTTTTTCCTTTTTTACCAATGTTAACGTGCGTTTGCGGTTCGTTTAGTTACACAAAATTTTAAATATAAAATGAATCAGGTAAGTATAATGCTTTATAAATAATCTGCTAGTTTGGTTGCCTATAAAAAATTAAATTCCCGTATTATAATTTATTGGTTTTTCCGGATCGGTTCGGTGGAAAGTTTTGCGTATCTAGGAAGGTTTTCGAGGATTTTCTTAAATGCGTTTATTTATAACCCGATTTTTTGTAATAGACGAACAAATGTTTTGTTTTACTGTTGATTTGGGTTAGGATGAAATTTGATGGATTGAGTTGCTAGACAGGTTGAAACGGTAATGGTAACACCATGTGTATTGTAAAGAAAACTGATATCTCTTGTCGTCATGGAAGTAAAACCTTGCGTAACCACATGTCTAATGCGAACTCTTCTAGATATAATTTGAATCGACGATTTGGAATTAAATAACATGAGCATTAAAATGAGGGTTGAATGTTACAGCAGTTGCAATATATTTAAAAAGTAGGTGAACAAGGAGTTACAATCTGAAGAAGTTGTTAGTAATAAAACGTAGTGTTCAGGTGACAAGACTTTGGCACAAAGAGGTCAAAAACATTTACTGCGTTAGATAAGTACGTGCCAATTGAAAGAGGTCAATAGGTGATTAATATTCGCACATTCTAGGCTAAAAAAACTTGTGACTTCTAAGGTTTATTAGTCTTTATTTTTTTGTTTGCGATACACAAATAAATAAAAAGACATTTTTACTTGTTTGCCATACGAAAATTAGGTATGGAATTTATTTATCACGCAGCTGTAACTTTGGCAAATGCTTTCGTTCTATCTGTGTCTGACAACTGCATCAGAGACTTGTTATAAATAGGAGTAAGACCAAAATACCCCAAAGACTACTCCCTGTCGTGCCACAATCTCATTTTCAGCCTTTCTTTTCTCAATAATAAATTTTAATTAAATGACATAACGAATTCACAGACCTTGTTCTACTATTGCAATGAGGTTTTCTCAAATTTTTCTTCATGTTGATAATGTTTTGATCGCAAAAAAGTTATATAATTGAGGCTAATGAATTGTTGTTTGTGTCAAAACATGTATGCTGAACAGAAAATAGTATTCAATGTCACAAGTTAGGCGGAAAATACCAAATTTAAAAATAAGAGGCCAAGAGAGTCACTCAGATAAATATTTGCCTGCGTTATTTACGTAATGCCGAAAACAAAATACCTAAATAACATGCGATTATTAAAAAATATATTGTTACAGTGTCGCCATTTAAAAAATTGAAACGTCGTAAATAAGTGTCCTTGGCAATTTAGAGAAATTCAACGATCTGATTGGGTCAGTGTTCCTTGAATGTGTTACAGCATAGGGGTGGCATTTTGCCAAAATCGCTACTGTTTATGTGTTGTTTTGTTCATTGACGCATGTTGATTTATGCAATTATTAATAAAAAAATGAATCATTTTTGCAAATATCGGTATTGTGACGGATTTAGTGAAACCGCCAAAGTTGATGAAATTGTTGGAACCATAACTTCTTAATAGAACATGATAAGACTAATTGAAGTTTGTCAATGCAAGACCGCTTGCTAATCCTCCAACTTTCCCGCTTTCGGTATTGATTTTGTCGAAAAAGCCGTCCTCACACCGGAAGAATTATTTTCAACCGTTGTTGAAATACTTTGTCAGCGATTGCACAATTTTGTCATGCGGTTGCAGAAAATCTTAGGTCATGGTTCCGGAACACACCTTCAAAGTATCACCTGACTCGTCTCACGTTCTTCACTTTATGAGTTATCGAAAGTTGCTGGCCGTCGTAGACCGGTAGCAGACTACAAGAGGTCGATAAACTTAGGGCAAGAGGTGTGGTGCCCTAAATTTTTTCATGTTTAGTTTGCGGATTTCATCAGAAACGCGAGGTTTTTTACTCATTAGCTGGTTTGTGCAATGTGGGGTAATTGCAAGCAAGGTATTATTAGTCAAAACTGCGATGAAAGTTGCTGCTTTGGAAAAATAACAAATTGGATGGAGTCGGGCCAAACTTTCATTATTATGACACGATTAAATTGTGATGCGTTTTATGGATGCCAGCTGGAATTTTATTGAATGGAATTTTTAGATATTTAAAGTACCTACTTGTTTTTCGGCTTTGTATTTAGGAACATGATTTGGCAATTTCCTTTTTTAATTCTAGCCATACCCATATTTTTGTAGGTATGTGAAAGATGTATAAGAAAATTGTATTACTTTAGAGTCACTTAATCTGTTTTTTTCTTTCTTTCTCCTAAACTAAATGTACAGCTTTACGGCCTTATTTGGTCGTGGAGTAAGTAGATCAGAATACAGGAATTCGATATTGTATCTAATTACGAGTACATGCCCGGAATGCGCAATTTCTCTATATTTCCAACTTGGACCCAACATTGTTTCCGAAATAGCTATTGTTTTTCTGCAAATATTTCCTGTTGGAATGAGTTTTTGGGGTTTGTGACCCCATTGCCACCGAAAAACTTCATAAATAAAAGTTGTAAAAGTCAAATCATGATCATTGAAGTATATCATTCTTAAAATACTCGCTAAAATAAGTACACCATCTGTTTAATTTGTCAGTCGAGGGCGTATTTGTCCATTTGAATTTCGGTGCCATTTGATTGATGTGTTTGAATGTTTCGAATTTAATTTGACCACGTCCGCGTTGCACAATGTTGCATTCAAGATATACCAAAACATTACCCTCCGTGACGTCACAGACGTGGGATTCATCCCCTCCAAGGGATTTTCTCAAAAGCGCCGGTCGCAGGACGTCCATCCCCTATTATAGCGGGTTTCACTTTCTACATTCAACCCTCATTCGAGTTGTAGTGTTTCTGATATACACATATCTGTGCTCAATCATAGTTTTCATGTAGTAGAATAAGGGTTGTTTTAACCCAAAAAATGTTATAGACATTTTTTCATTGAATGCAAAAAGAAGTGCGACATATGATGCGGAAATTATTAAATTTTGATGGGAAAACTGATTATTTTGGTAAATTAGTGTTAGTATTTAAGAGATTTTTACAATTTAGGATCATTTCAGTAAATATCAATTAATTCCGAGATCAACGTCGAATGACAATAACGTCTAGAACATAAATTCTACTTTATTGCTTACTAAAAGAGTTCCATAATATTTATTTGTAAGGGCAAAGGACATTACTATCACATGACACACACAATCTTGATTTGTGTTCAAATCCCAATCTTCATTTTAGTTTGTTTGAAAGGATTGTAGAAAAATCCGGATTAATTTTTTCAGTCCCTGACCTTCTATCCATCCGTTACATTTGTTAAAACGATGACGATGTGATGATAATTTAGTTGTTATACAATGTCACTTAATTACATTTTACGGTAATACTCTCATTGTTTGGCCTAGATTTTAGTAAATACGTCATTTGGCAAGTCGTTTAACTGTTTACCTAGATCACACTATGAATTTATTTTGGGAATTGCCATTTTTTATCACGTGATCAATTTTGATTTAAAGTTTTCGTGACGAAGCGATATTACCATCTGGGGACCCTAAAACCGGATAAAAACTTGGGATCAATTTCTTTGAGGTAGGTCAGTGAACGTAAAATTGTTTTGGTGATGTTTCCTTGGGAGTTCTTCCGTTTCCTCATTAATTTTCCAGACTGAAAGTAGATTTTTAACGGTTGATTTAAATTCAATACAGCTGATTAGTGTCTAGCAAAAGAGCTTGATTTGTTAAATTAAGTTCAAGGTTACTTTTTGCGCACCCTTCGAGTAAAATCGATACCCGACACCAAAGGAGAGCTTTCCGGTTTGATTCCGGTATTTTGATTAATGGAATTGAAGAGCAAACAGCTGATTGGAAGAAAATGGCTAGTTTTTAATTAGAGGAAGTGGAAAAATATGGTAATTCTAATTGCTATTTCTATTCGATAAAAAATATTATTTGATAAATTAATTATTCAATAACACTCTTATCACAGGATATTTTTGCAAAGGTTATTTCATAAATATGAACTAAAATAACAATAATTTTGTAATTAATTGCATATTTACGTAGTTTGCTCTCTTCTACTTTTAATTACTTGAACAGAATATTAGTTTATCGACTTTAATTGTTATTTGTTGGGTCTAGTAATTCCTAACAATAATCCTTGTCTTTAATTGTACGTTATGTGACAATAAAATTTCTTATACCCACCTTCATTTACCTATTACACAATGCGTCGTAATTCTTGTGGCATTTCCGTTATTGAAAAATCCGTGTTTCTAGTTACTACTACTTGTATTAGTGATAGCGCTGCACAATTTTTTTTAACAAAAATTAAAAAGGTTAATAACTTTAAAAAAATTACTACAAGGTCATTCTACACCAATCATCTTCGTGATTATGGTTCTGTAGTGATTATCACGTTTTATAAAAAGTGCAGATCGGTTAAAAAATTGTTTAGTTAGATGAGATAATATTTGGTAGGTCATGGTGTGGCACATTAGATTTTATCAATGTTGACGTGATGAAATAACAATCATATTTGTTTAATAAAACAAGTAAAAAAGTTTTGTAATATTTTATATTTATAACAAGGGTGTAAAAATATCTAAAATTGGCACACATAATTTTTCTAAATGAGATAACTGTTTCCGAGACTGTTTTTATCTGAAATTTTGCTAGAAAAAATATCAGACACTTTTTATAGATTAGCAGACTCATTGGTACTAGAAATTGGTTAATTAACTTTAAGGGCAGATTAATTGTTGTTTTAATTTCGTTGTAATTATCTTGCTTGTTAATGACAGTAACTACAGATTTGATTTGATTTAGTTTTATTTGTTTAAATATAGCTTAAAACTTTTTCATAAACAATAACCGGGGTGTAATGGTAATGGTAACAGTGAAATTTGTATTAGTGTTTTCTTCTCTCAAATTTCCAACATTAAACCTTAGTAATATTTTTCCTACTTTTTCTAGTTTTACTCTTCGCAATAACCTTGTCATTATTTCAAATTTACTACAATATCAACTTTATTATAAAAATATTTGTACAATACGACGTAGTAAGTAATTCATGTCGCGTTTTAGCTCTCATGCTAGCCAGCCAGCCCTAACAAGTTTACATTGTGCATATTAATAATAACTGTTTTTATCGAATTAATTATCGTTTTTATCATAACATTTAACGATGATGGTATGATGTTATAAAAATTATTTTATGATAGTGCTATGTCAAGTGAATTGTAAATAAGAGTTGATGTAGAAAAATTACTTTATATTTTCCCTTAAAATTTCCACATCCAGATTGAAAATAGTCTCTTCTAAAGTGGTTTAATTAAGACAGATGCGTCGTGGGTTAATAAATGCATGTGACGTTTTAATGGTCGAATACAACTGGTGTCGTCATATTATGTAGCACAATCAGCATCAATTGCTTACCCTCACAGTGGCTACAACTAGCTTAACTTATCGTCGGGCCTCCATTTCACCTAATTGAGATTTGAGACAGTCGGAATTGAGTTTTTGCTAAATGAGGAATTTTAAATGGCTACGAGATTGAGTGTTAATTTTTAATTTTGTGAGGATGTTCTCTCTCCCATGGTGTGGATGATTGTAAAAATAAACACACAATTGTCGGGGAGAATTTTAATTTAATACTTTCTATTTATATCATCGTACATTTTGGCATAAATTAACGCAAAGGTTCTAATTGTCGGTCAAATTTATTTATTGTTCATTTTTCTTAATTTGCTTCAATTATATTAAATGGAATGTTTTAGAATAATAGTTGAATTTATGTTGTGATGTTGAAAAAGTGTAGGTCTTTAATGAAGGAAATATTTTTACTCAAGTCGTGCGGTTACGTGATTTAGATAACGTTACAAAAATTCCTCATTTAAGATAATAATTATGATAAATCACGCGTCGCAGGATTAGATTATCGTCCTAGTGAAAATTATCTAAGGTCTTATGGGTCGATCACGTGCCTTCCGCTAATGTGCATTGCTTCCATCACGTGAGGCTTATCATGCCCATCCACATTCACTTGTCGACCCATCGAGAGTTCTCGATATAGACCACCGGTAGCTTTAGGAGGGGGCGACCACGCGACTACTCCACTGGGTAGTGGTGTGTGGCAATCCTCCGAATCAGTCGGCATCGAGTCATCGAGTCTTGTGAACAAATCAAACTGTAGATAAGTGAGTTATCACGCGTCTGATAGCGGGTTTATATATTATTCGATTTCGTTTTGCCTACATCCAGTGCGTCGAGTCGAGACGGTACCTCGAAAACCTTCCTCCGGAATATCCGAGTGCGCGGTTTGCTGATAAGGAGTTTACCAAAAACTCCACCACCCAGCAAGTTGGTTTTATTTTGCAGTGGCGTCGAATGTAAAGATGAGATTTATTCGTCGTCGCAATTGGCGTCGGTAAAAACAGAAAATTTGTGCATTAACGAGAATATACCCGTACTTGTGGAGAAAGTGGTTCCGGAGGCTACTCCGGTGAAAAAAGCTGAGCTTAATAACACCAAGAAAGTGGTTTCCTCCTACCTGGAGGATAATAACACGCCGAAACCACCACTTACGGCGACTTCAAAAATTTTCGCACCGAGGACTAAAGAGATGAACAAGGGATTCTTGATGTTCTCCGATGAGGAGCCAGGACTTACAAGTAAGTACCACCAATAACCGGAATAAAAACATTCGTGTTCGACTGAAAATTTCCACTGTTTTTCCTTCGATTGGTGGAGTTTTTTTTATAGAAAAAAATCCTTGAAGATATTCGTTTGACTAATAAAGATAAAAGGCTTGCAAATATTTAAACGTTATATTTCACCTGCAGTAATTGCTCTGAGATTCTCACACTGCATTACAAAAATATTGTAGGTAGCAATAACATGTTTGTAATAAATAACATTCTACAGTTAAGGCTTTATCGGCCAATACCATAGAAGTCTTATTTGGAGAGAGGTTATCAACTGTATTAATAACAACTTACAACCGATTTAGTTGAGTGTTCATTACATAATTTCAAATGTCAAGTCAGTTGTACTGTAATTGTACTTAATATTTTCTGAGCGACACGTTATCTATAACACGTCTATGGGGAAAACAAGTCACACCTAAAGGTTTTTCTAAAAAAAGTGAGGTGTAAAAAATTTAGCAGAAATAAAACAGTATCTCATGATTTTTAAGAGACGAAAATAAACATCAGAGAAACAATAAAAGAACATCCTCTAGTAATGTGATAAGAAGCCACATGCATACTTGCCTTAATTTGTATTATTATACTTAAATAGATAATTGTTTAACAATTGGAATTTTATAATTGGTTTGTTTACTTTTTAAGAATTCTGATTGAAGTTTATGGTAAATATTTATTTTTTTTTCAAAAAAATTAAACTGCTACTTTTATTAACACTGTTGTGTAAATTAATGTGCATAATGTTTCAAGGTGAGAAGTGCCAAAAAGGATGCGAAAAATTCCGTCGTAATCACCGAGATTATTTTCTTGGAAACGCAATGAAATTCATGTCGAACATAATTGTTGAATAATTATAATGCCGTGATTTGCATTTCTTGAAGGGAAAAATTAACCGCAACGAGAGTAAAGTTCTAAACAAGGCGTCACTTGCATTTTGCATTATTTTTTTATCAATTGCTGTTTACGGTAGTATTGTCGTCCACTAGAATTTATTATCTAGTTATGTACATGAATAAGAAAAATTACAATCAGTTAACATAATTCATGAATATGTCTGATTACAACACAAATTACGTTGATAAATGAAGTTTATGTGTATGTTGTTTTTCTATTCTTCGTATAGAAGCGCGTAAAATTCATCAGTTGCATTATATAATTCGTAATGGACCGTCGAAGGTCGGCAATCATGTGAACGTTACATAATTGTAAAAATTCGCAAATATAGATTTTTTGAATGTTTGAACAATATTGTCTTTATTATTCTGGCAAGACTGCGTGCCTTCTTTCTAAATTTAGAGCCAGTAGTTTCAATCAGCAATTAACTCGATAAATAGCATGAAAGCCTTGACATTAGTATCATCATAATGGAATAATTTAATATAAATAGTCGAACAGTGTAATGTTTTTATCAGAGTTGTGATTTGGTTTTGGTCGTTTTATATTTGCTAAATGAATTTTCCTTATTTACAGTGTTGAAGGACGAGCCTGACGATTTGACGCATTTGGCTCCAGTAGCTGGTGATGTTTGCGTTCCTCTAGACGACCACCCGTTTTTAACCGACAAGATGTTGGACGATTTCTTACTCAGAGATAGTTTTGAACCACTTCTTACCGACGAACCCACCGACCCTTTCATTTCGTACAGAGATTCCTACGATAATTCTCCTCAATTATTATCTCCGAATCTTTCAAAGGTATTATTAGAGATCGGTGGGAGGAATTGGCATGTCTCAATGCGATGTTTTTTAGAATTCGGAGTGTAGTTTACCTTCGTTAAATAGTCCGAGTGATTCTTTAAGCGACGAGGATCGATTGTCAACGTTTATGAATTTGCACACAGAAGATGAGTCGGATTTGGTGGTAAAGGCTCCGTATATTACTATGAATATGGGCGACGATTTGCCTCTGCTGCTCTCAGACGATCTCATGTGGAGCAGTAGTGAAAAATCGAGAGCCTCACCTGACAGTAGTTCGAGTTTAGCACAATTGTTATGCTCGTCGATAAATAAACATTCGCGGCCGAACGATCACGGTGGAGGGTTGATTTCACCGGATCGGCTAATGGATGTGGATGAATATTACAATAAGAAAAGTAAAATCAGTGAGTTTGATCGAACTTTTGTTATTTTGCTATTTTTAGATACTGCAATAAACGGGAAGTCGTCGTCGATATCGTCTAGGTTAGAGCGGACAAACAAAAGATCGAACACATCGAATTACGAGTCAAATACGAAAAGATCGAGAAATGAGCCCAAAGAGAAAATGTCTTCAGAGCTTTTACAACAGTTAATGTCAAATAATCACCATAGGGGCCGTCCGAGGGGAAAAAGTAATTGGTTGCTTGATTCGGGAGGACAGAAAGCGGCTTGCATAAGTCAGCCGAGTGACAGCGTCTTGATGAACCTTTTGGTAAGCGGTTTCGATATACGAGCCGGGTATATCTGCCTGACCCCTTCTAAGTCCAAGAGATGAAGTGAAATGTTCAAATGTGGAGTACGCTGTGCTCAATTTAGGACAAAAGGGAATTTAGATTTAAAGCGGAGAGGAAAAGAGATATATATTTTTATTATGGAAGCGAGTGGATTTTTACATCGTCTTATCCTTTTTTACGATGAATTCTGAAACCGTTGGTTTCCTAACTAAAATGCCTTTCTTGAGTTGCCAAAAGTACAAGAAATCAGGGAGACCAAATAAATTACTCCTACTGCCAATAATTTTCGAAAGTAATAATTAGAGACAGCGTACTGTATTGACTGTGATAGGAAACACTATCTGAAAAGCTCTCTATTTATGTATCACATTCCACTTCAGTTCATTTTCACTACTTAACTCTCGATGTTACAGAAAGCTTTGACTGTCAATGTATTTTACGAAAATGTTACTAATTTCAGCAAACAGAAATCTTTTTCTGTTATTTTTTTTTCTTAGACCAAGGGAAATGATATCGTTCATTATTTTGCATATCATTCACCGTAACTGATGTAGAGACTGTAGTAAAAACGCTTAAATTGTATTCAAAAACTTCATATAAATGTTTGGTATAACATTTTTTCAAGGATATTTAAAATTTTAGAAAAATAGATTTGTACAAATTGTTAACAACGAAACACCATGTAACGAATTAAAATGCAGTTAATTGTACACACTTTTGAGCATACGGTGTGACTATGTGTATTTCAAAAGTGTAATAAAAATTTATTTGTAAATAGTTTCCTTGTTATTGTTAAGGCAATAATAATTATTCAGTGATATGTATAATCTTTTATAAAGATTATTTTTAGATTATATTAATTATTGTGTATTTATTTTTTAAGCATATTGTTAATATGCTCATGTTGTAAGAGAAAATAAAACATATTTATAAAAATGACTCCTTTTTTACCCACAATGAACTTTTTAGCACTACATTCATCATCTAATTGGAATTTTAATCGCAAGTTTGTGTAAATTTGTAATGGAATTTTTACCGCATTGTAAAACAAATTTACAGTTGCATTTTCTGTTGTCAAAACTCGTGTTAGAGACAGTACCTACTAAAAGATCAGAAACTTTATACGGGTAACCTTTTAATTAGTTCTTTTCGTGTTAGAATGCCAACTCGTAAAGAGGAGTTATGTCAGTTCTGATGTTGCTTGTCATGTCCTATTACTTCATTAAAAATAAATTCAGTTTTCCTAGTACATAAAAGCTGTTTTGTATTTTATGGTTGATGCAGCCATAAAATAATAAGACCATTGATAATATCGCTCCTGAGATTGTTTTCAATTTGTATTTTCATTACTTATTTTTTTTTTAATTTTTTAAACGATGAAATTTTGATTCTATTATATTATTACAAAAACTAAAATTGCATTTATTGTGAAGACGAATTTATAATCATTTGTTTATCTAATCTGTATTTGTTCGTTTCTGCAGTCACGAAATAAGTGAAACAGAAAATCACTACTTAGAAGATTTTTGTGTTTTATTTAAAAATTATTAAACGGGATTGAAGTATCTATATAAAAAAAAAATATGTACACTTTGAATTTTGCATGTAATTTATTGCTTTGACAATTTTTTTTATTAAGTGAGGGTGCGAAAGCTGTATGTACTAGTATGTAATTTATATTGAAATTATACAGACAAGAAACTAAAAACTAAGACGAGTAAAATAGGTATAGTCTTATTAAAGGCCTCTACAATATTAAAATCTAAATGTACCTAATTATCAAATATTAATAATGATTTGCGCAATACAATTTATATTTAAAAATGTTATTAACATTACGTTAAAATCGATGCAAAAAAATAATCTAATAATTATGTTAATAAAACTTCTTAATTGAAACGGTAAAGTTGTTTTTTTTTATTTAAGCATCTAGGAACAATAAATACAAAGCAGAGCAATGATGTTTGCTATTTTTTACTTGATACTTGTAACAATTGTAAGTTTACCTACGTTATCTGCAGAAGACAAAATTTTGACACACACAAAAATCTTTTGAGAGATAATTGCGATATTTACGTTAAATTATTTCTTTGTATACACTCCCAAAAATAGCTATTTTTGGGACTCATTTGACTCTACAAAATGTGAATTTAAAAATTGTACGCAAAATAGTTATTTTGGGTACTAGTACTCAGAATACAGTTATTATGGACGAAAAAGTTAATCTGGTTACTATGGGAATTCAAATTTGAAGCTTAATTTCGAGAAATTTTTGCTCTGATGACATTAATCATAAATAATAAGAGGTGTGACCGTGTTTTTGGGAGCTTTAACTCGGCTTCGCCTCGTCCAGGAACAGCAAAGATTCGTTCGCAAAACTGTATTTTAGGTACTTGTAACTTGTAAGAAAAATAACTATAAGAGGTGAATTTGATTAACAAAATCAATTCTACTTTACTCCACTTAGTACCATTTTACTTAAAAATAACTACTATATTAATACTTTTTATTGGAAAATATTTCAACACTGTTTTAAAGGTAGACATGTAAATATTTTGCATAAGCATATTATCTAATAATAGTAATGTGCTGCAGACGCAACATAGCGGTGAAAAGTTCCAAATGGAAATTTAAAATAACAAACATAATGAATGGGTGTAGTCTTTAGAGTTACTTTGAACTTTTAATGCACTGTTTCTGTATTACATGCACTTTAATGTAGCAATTATTTTTAGTGTAGCATTGTTTCTTTACTATTTGTCTAATTAGGGTAATAGAAATAGTTATTGAAAACTCATAAAGCCGATTAGACAGTAATGTATTAATTTTATTGGTATTTCAGTTCTTTACGCAACATGTCTGTTTTTATTGTAAATCAATAAAGGACAATAAATTTTCTTTATAGCACTTTAGGTAACACTAATTAAAAGTAGGCAACAAAGGTGTCTCTTTGTATTAACCGAATATTTCTAATTAGAATTATGTTTTAGGTTAAATTAGGTTTAAGGTTTATGTTTATCTAAGAAGAAACAAAAACAGGAAAAATTGGATTTCGCCAATTTTGTCTCTTATCTATAAAACTAGTATATTGTTATCATGTTTACATTGTAATTTGTTTATAAGTTAACATTTACGTAAAGATCCGATCACAGGGCAGTATCGAGTCCAAATGTTTGACCTTGGAAATAAAAATATCATGAACTTAACAAACAAACATCGCACGTCTTTAATTAGGTTAAAAATGAGGAATTGATGTCAAAGCTTTCTGATATACTGGTATTTTTATTAATTGTTGTTGTGTGATTTTAATTTTTTTTTTTTGATTAGGATGATTCCATGGAGCGAACATCTGTAAAAAGGGACAAGGGACGACCACCGGGCCCCCCACATGCCGACACCGAGTCAAGACAGAATACGATTCGGAAGAATTCCCTTTCGCTGCTTGATCCCGACGCAACCATACCGTCATTACTCGATTTGACACAACAAGATTTTGAAGTGAATGCACCTGTGAATAACCTTCTCCTTCAAGGCACGGATTTGCTAACGGCGCTTGACATAAATGGGCCCATTTAGCTAGAGCTGATTGCTGACGAGACAGCAGTTGCACGAGAGTTTGAAATGATACCGCTTATAGTTATAAAAGGGGATAGTGTTACGGTAGAAAATGTTCATATTGTTGGTAAATAACAAAATAATTTAATAGCAAAGTGACTGAAATGAGGAGTCCTAACGGTTTTGAGGGTCAAGCAAAATAATACACCTGATTCGTGAGATTCTCTGGTATATTATTTTATTTAGTGGGGCTGAAAATATAGAATTGTTGAAAGAAATTTGTAAATTGCACAATATTTTCTGCGTTTATTTTATAATGTGTAGAGTAATTTGGGTAGAAAATTTTATGTAATTCCTCATTTAGTAATCATGTAATATAATATTTTTGTAATTTTATAATTCCTACAATAGACATTTCCAAATTGTAAATATTAGCTTTTAATGTAAGCAATCAATTTACCTCATTTCATTTTAAATTATATTGTTAATTCCATGTAATTTTTAAAATTCTCATCATATGGAGTCTCAGCATTACTTTCAAGCTCTCTTTTTTACTGCTATGATACAATGTAGTGATATATTTGTAAAATAGAAATTGTTTTATTCTAACAGCATGTGCTGTTATTTTTATTATAATTTTATTATGTGAACTTTTAATAACTATATTAAGTCAGATTTTTACACTCTTTAAACATGATAAAATAGGTACCTAATGTAGAACCAAATAATATGTTTAAAAGAAAATTGTTTTTATACAATCATTTTGCAATACTGCCATAAAATGTTAATAATTATTGTAGTTAACGATGAAGGATGACGCATTTGAAAAATATTTAGTAGATTAACAAATAGGGTAAGAAAGAATTTGATTTATAAATTTGCAATACGTTTTTTTCTGCAACATCAAATTCTCTCAATATTTTATGGGCTAAGACAGGGTACAAAGTCAAAGACATTTTTTAAATAATACAAAAATTCAAAATAAAAAAACGAATTTGGTGTTGCACAGATTTTATATTTTTGTTTTTAGTTGTAGTGGCTGTATAAGTTGCAATATAGAGTTCGAATCTGTGTTTTTATATTGTTTGCCCGGGTCTTAGATCGAAGCTTGAAATTCTTTAAAAAAGATGCATTATAGATTGATAAAGTGTTACTCATTTTAGTTTAAAAATGTATCTTAATTTCTAATAAGTGAGAAAGTATAGATATGTAAAGTAAGTGTTACGGGAAGATAGTACTCGGGTAAAATAAATTATATCAATATTAGTTTTGTTTTAGTTGCCTAATTATTTTGAAAAGCATTAAATTTGCTGTAAACACATTTGAAAAAAACAAGGGAATTTTCTATAAGATGTATTTTTGGTTGCAGCAACTGTTTTTTTTACAGGAATCTGCTTAGCTATTTAACGTTTAATTACCCAGTTATGTGAAGTTGTGAAGATGTCGCTGTAGTTGTCAAAAATGCCGTCAAAACAAATTTTGCAGTGACGTATTAAACAAATGTTTGTATTTTTTATTTGAACTAAGCAATAAAAGCAGTTTGAGATATTTATTGCTAATCAAAGCAATAATACTTAGTTAAAATCTAAATCGGTAATTAATTGTATTGGTAGAACTACTAAACACAACTCATCTTAACCTCAATGCTTTGGCTGTTGTTCTGAATTAGTGGGAAATGTCTCCAGAAATCAATGGAAACCCTCCAAGTGTTACCAAACGGAAGAAAAATCGCGAAAAGAAGCCTCAACCAGCACCAACTTTAAATCCTTTAGAATTCAACATGTCGCACTGCAGCTACTTTCCTACAAACCCCAACAACTTTCACAACATAAGTATCCCCGATATTAGTGCTTATTACTCATACTTGAATTATCCAAATCCATCTGAACCCATGTCCTTGCCCGTCTATCCCATCAACTACCCTAATTATTTCCCATCTAACCCCAATCTCAATTTTTTGAGTGCCACAAAACAACCAGTTGTGCCTTCAGTGAATGGTGACAATAACGAATATCTGAGTTTGCCTGTGCCTAACGCCGATCAGAGTGATGATGTAACTAAGAGAAGATACTCAGATCCAGGCCTACCAAATGATAGTGATGATAGTGGAAGCTCAATAGATAGTAAGGTTGTTGAAAAATTGACTCACCAAGTCAACGTCTTGAAAGAGAGCAACAGAAAATTGACTAGGGAAGTTATGGAGATGAGGATTGAACTAAACATGTTGAAGCAGCAACAAAATTCCAGACATTTTGACAGGGAGTATGAGCCAGGGATGTTGGCTGATATTATAAGGGAAGTTAGGGATGCAGCCAGAGTTAGGGAGGATGCCTTATTGGCCAAGGTTAAACACATGATTGAAGAAAAGCAGCTGAGTATGGTAAGGATTGCTTTAATTAATAATAATGTGGGTCGTTTTGATCATTAAAAACCGCTATTTAGTAAAAACTGTAGACTAAAGCTAAATCGGCATTTTTAAAAAATTATTTTAATAGAATATCAAAACAGAGTACCTATACCAGGTGAATAAAAAGTATGGTTCCAAATGTTTTTTTGCTTAAACTATTCATTTTTTGAAAAAAACTAATTGATGAATAATAAAGTACCTAAAGTCTGTTTTTTTTTTAATGGAAATGTCAAACAGTCTTAACGTTGGCACCACTAGTAAATTCATTCGTGGTCATTAAACGTCAACACAAAAAATCGTCTAAGAAAATTTAGAGACGAAACACCAAAAAAGGAACAAATTCGGTACCGTTAACAATTTTTAGAAATTTGGAAACGAATAGTTCGCAAGCAGGATGTTAGAAAAAGGGCCCGTTAAAATGTAGACGAAATTTGTAATGCAGGTTTGCTAAACATTCTCAATTTTTAGCAAAAAATTGACAAGAATACAAAATAAACATGAATGAGAAACAACTTCGGAAAGAAGGAAATTAAATTAGTGTCTTGTGCATCGTTTTTGAGGAAGGAGTTGAAAAAATAACAATTTTGAAACTAAAGCTGAAGAAGAATTTATAAACTACATCAACTTTGAAATTACACGAAATTTATTGCCAGTCATAATATCTGCTTGTATCTTTTGCTAAATAACTTTTTTCTGTATATACATCTTTTTTCTTCAAAGTTTTTGTAGCAAGATCCTCATTTTTGTCCACAACATTGTACTTACTTGCGGTGTGTTTCTATTAAAATTATTAGCACTGAATTCTGTCTTTATACCTTAGGTAATGATGTCTGTCCTCAGGTATTCAATTATAACGCTTTTAAAGAGCAAACAGGCACACAACATTCATAAAAGTCAAAATTTTGACAACATCTCAAGTTGAAAACATAACCATAATTTTTTTACAAAATTTCTAAGGACAAAAATAAAGAGCAAACAAAATTTGTGGCTATGGAGACAAACTGCTACCAATTTTTTCACCAAAATTTTGACATGGTAATTTCCATTTAAAGAAAAAACAGACTTTACTATAAAACTGTCACGTTTATCAAGAATAAAATTTTTTGAAATTTCATTTCTTTAAATTTTGCAAAATATTAATTTTTTTTAAATGGTAACCTACTATAAAACCTTTTTTTTTACAAAGGCTGTATTCTAAGGATTCCAACTATCTGTATTTTAAAATATTTCATAGTTGCCAGTTTGATAAAAAAATGCATAATTCGAAAATAAAATTTAATTCTTAAAACACGATTACATTTTTATAGCACTTTAATTTTTAGTATAATATTTTCAAAGCATAAAAACATTATTAACAAATATATATTTTTTAATTCAATTCATCATTTAAATTATTAGAATACATAAAAATGCAGAAAAACTTACCATTACCAAGAAGCACTTGTCACACCTTTACGGTTTGTCAAGAACTGTTGTTACATGTTAGCGTACACCGCAATCATCACGTATTCAAATGGAATAAACACCTAATAATGTTTACTGTCATTCTTTCTCAGTCTAGTTGCGCACTTTTTTGTGTTAACAATAAAAGAACCGGTTTTGTTTTTCCCGTGTTTTGCACATTAGTGACGAATTATGTTTTTTCTTGTTTGTTTCTATAATTAATACATTTTATATTGGAAAAATACGAAAGGACGGATTCTTATGGTTTTTTTAATAAAAAATGTATTAAAGGCTTTTATAAATATTACTACAAAATATTTTGAGTATAAAACCATTTTACCAGTTTATTATTTGAAAAAATACATAATAAAATATTGACTTTTATTCAAAATTATTTTACTTCTTTACATACACTCATGTCAAGAAAAGTGGTTGAAATAATCGAAATTTTATTATTTTTTTCTAGTTAATTTTATGGGGGAAGTAATTATCAATATATATTTACAAACTGATGAAACAATTTGACCAAATTTGTTGGTTTACTTGCAAAAACTGTTTTTGTGGTATATATTTTACGTTCTATAGTTCTACGATATGTGCATAGACATTTTTGTAACTCTGATTATAATCCTGTCCTATGTTCAATTTAAGCACAGCGCAGTAGCGTGTTTAAATTCAAGAGCCTCGAAATGAAACTTTGCTTTCTTTGAATGAAGATGACAAAACAAACAGAAAAATTACGGGCAGATTGAACATTAACTAAATACTCCACAGTAAAAAATGAAGTTATGAAAAGAGAAATTTTTCATTTTTTGACAACTTGCGAATACAATTAAATATTAAAGAAAAAAGTGTAGAGGACAGTGTTGTAAAGAATCAAATTTGCGTAAAAAAGTTTCGACACTATAGCACTATCTTCAACGGTTTTAGCCCTACAAACGAGAATGTTTTAGTATCGGAAACGTCATATTTATGTAATAATTATGGTGTAGCAGCTATCTTGTATTTTATTGTTGCTCATTCTTTCCATTTTTAATATAACTCGACTTGTTATCTTAAATTTTCAGCCGCAATTAAAACACTTAATTTTTCAATAAAAATCCAATCACAATCAGCACTTTTCATTCGAGACCGGCCGGCTCCGGAGCTGATGACGTTCCGGATTACCGCAACATTAGTGTGTAATCCTCGCACTAGATGGCTCTCGCGGCTGTATTTAAAGCACTGTGCAAATTTATATTTCCCTCATGTATGCTTTGTACATAATATAAAGTACACTGTTTATATTTACCGAGCAATATCGGCATGTAGACTCGGTGCATCTATTCAATTTTGCCGGGTTTTTTCACTCCAATCATCGGTCGACGTATTTACCACCGTTTACCGCTAAAATATGCCGATGGCAAAAATTGAAAATTCGCAGCGAGAGGCCGTGTTTAATTATTTAGCGTCGCGACGCCTGATAAAAAAAGACCGACACCATTCTTTCGTCACGCGGTGTTTGCTTTGAGCTCGACGTATTTGCAGGCGCGATCAAATGGGCGTAATGATCTTTTTTAACCTGGAAGTGCGTGATTTATTCCGCTGTTTGACCAGCACGGAGCTCGATTTATCGGTCTTGAGAGCTTGAATCCAGGGGTTTCGTATAATATGTATGTTTAATTTAGGTATTCCCGAATGGAATAACCAGTCAAGGATTATTCTCAGGCCGCTGGGCACAATCCAAGGGATCCAAGAACATGCACTAAATTCTATAAAAACATTGTAAGACAATGTATATTGTTTTTTTCTATAGTATTTTCTACCAGTGTTATCGCTTATACTTTAAGGGTGTTTCTTAAAATCCGTTTTTTTTTGTGGAAAAGTTAAATTCTCTATGGTTATACTTAATTTTTAATAAATTTATCTGTATATTGCTACCATTTAAATGAGTATTTATCATTTTTTCGAATATTTTTTGTATGATATAAGAAAAATAAGTTTGTTTGGACTACGTTTGGACTAATCCGTTTTTTTCATTTGTCCAATCTTCATATGATGCCTCTCTTTGTTACCGCGAGTCGTGCTAATTAATTCTGGGCGGGATTTTATTTTTATGCCGAAATTCGCTTCAGCAAATGTGCGGGGACACGTAAAAGCGAGATCACATTAGCATATTCGTTTATTGTGGCAAATAAAAGGTATACAGAACGTAACTGTTGGTTGTGTTTCTTGTCCAGGTAGAAAACCTGACTGATACGTTAAGTGGTGGTCCTTTCAACATCACGTCAAATAAACCTACGGAAGTAACACCATTTAACCACTGTTTAGTGCGGTTTCGCGCTTTTAGTAACTCGGCCACCCACAAAGTTTACCTGTGCTGTAATTTTCTGAATGAGTGTTGACCCATTTTTCGTTTTTCTCCCACCAGTGGGTATCGTACCAGTAAATAACTCAGTGAAAACAATTAGGGTAATTTATTAGCAATTAGTAATTTAATTAACGAGTTTGTGGTAAGCTAAGTAATAATCATGTTGTCTGTTTCCAACAATTCTGTTTTGTTGCTGAATAATTATTAAAATTATTCAAATTGATCAGGAGTATTTATTTATTAAGTTTACTGATAGTTATTTGGAACAGTATTTTTTGAATTTTTCTCAATTCTGAAATAATCAATGGTGATTATAGCCGTCGCGTTGATTTTTACTCTTTCAATTCCCTTTGATTATAACCATCCAGCAAGTGTTGTTCCAAGCTAGTGTATGACGACAGTACACTCCTCCAGCGACATTCGATACGGGCCTTGGTGGCATGGCTACGCAAACAACAAGATTGCCCTAATGGAAGCTCCAGTCGCAGTTTGAGGGGTTAACCTCCGCGCCCATCCAGGATTATTATTCAGCCCATTACGGCAATTAAGCGGTCAAAGCGAAAGGAGTGTAATTCCATTGGTCGGTCTGAAATTGGATCAACCTCAACATCAAATAAAATGAAATATTGTTTGTGTGGGTTGTTCATACCTGTAGTTTTTTCAGTGTTTTTATTTTTGGATTCAGCATTCGTGCTCAGAAATCTGATATGGCCATCTAAGCGACCATCCATCCATCCACTATACTTGATGAGAACATCTACTTCTCCGAGCAAATATTGACAGAGTGCTGTCCACGTACTCTCGGCCTGGGAAATCTTAATAAAATCAATAACGGCCATGATTGTGCCACGAAAATAATCAAGGGATGGGGGCACGTATGTGCCTCAACTGATACATCAATAATTGATTTTCATTTCTATTAACTTTTTTAAAGACGTTAAGAAAAATCAATAAGTGCTTACGTTTCTGTGGTAACACTGTCAAACATAACTCAATTGCGTAAAATTTTGCAAGAATGGAAAAACACGGTGTTGTTCCTGATGTTCTTTCTGTTGTTCCGAAACAGGTTGTCGATGTTACTTATGCAAAAGGTGTGAAAGTCGAGCTGGGGAATACTCTAACTCCCACGCAAGTCAAAGACCCACCAACTGTCAAATGGGAGTCTGAAAGTGACGCATTTTATACTCTTTGTATGACAGATCCCGATGCTCCCAGTCGGAAAGATCCCAAGTTTCGGGAATGGCATCATTGGCTCGTCGTAAACATTCCGGGTGATAGTATTGAAAAAGGGGAAGTTCTTTCGGGATACATAGGATCAGGACCTCCAAAAGGGTCAGGATTGCATCGTTACGTTTTGGTAATTTACAAGCAAAAGGGGAAGATTAGTTGCAATGAAAAGCGTTTGCCTAGCACTTCGGGAGATGGACGCGGGAAGTTTTCTATTAAGAAATTTGCAGAAAAGTATCAGTTGGGGGAGCCCCTGGCTGGGAATTTTTTCCAAGCCGAATGGGACGATTATGTCCCGACTTTGTACAAGAAGTTGGGAATGTAGTTTTTGTTGTAATATCTTGGTTAATAAAGTGAAATTAGTTTTATAAATGTTTTTTTTTTCCTTAAGTAAGCATTGAAGAATGACTACCATCCCCATTTTCTAAACTTAAAATGCAAAGAAAAGATTGTAGAGTTTAAAAAATAGACAAACGAAAAACCGTTGCATGAATGCTTCCAAAATAAATGTGAAGATATTTTAAGACACCTCGAAAAAGTTTAAGTAAAAATAATTGAACATATCGAGGAAAAGAAAATGTAAAGAAAATAAATCTAAGAATAAAAAGCTATGTACTTAATTTACAAATAATAATTAACAAAATTATTAACAAGTCGCTTTGGGTGATTTGCTAGATTAAATGAGGTTAAGATAGTGGCACAGTAAGAGATAGAGAGAGGGTGTTTTACCTATGTAAAAAACTTCTGGCACTCATTTAAACGTTATTTCAAAAGACGATTTTTCATAGTATGTACAGTCAGTGATGCAAAAACAGTGTCACAAAGAGCGTTTTGCATACAGACTTACACAAAAAAATTTCAAAAATTTATTTCTTGCATTTTTACAATGTTTTTGCATTTTTCTAAGAGTAGGTATAAATGGTTCAATTTAAAGTTTTTAATTTTTTCGATTTTGGTCGAAATTTTGAGCGAATTTTGCTACCCGGAGCGGTTTATTCCAGAAACGGAATTATTGACGTTGCAGTTATTGCTGCTTGCAGTTTTCTCGACGTCCTTCGATTTTTCGGAACATCTTACATATGTTTATATGTATGCATATAAAAACATTTAATTCTCTCGCTGTGCCGCTGGATTAAGAAAGGAAAGATCAAAAGGGAATTATTTTGCTTTTTAGTTCTTATTATTTGTGTGCATTTGCAGTTTTGTTTTTTCTTTCAGAACCATTTACATCTGGTGAGTGAGAAGAATCGCAACAACGACCGCATTTCGAAATTGGAGGAGCAGTTGAAAAACATGAGCGTAAACAACTCGAGGTGGGTTTTTAGTTTTAGTTAGCAGCATCAATCATTACGAGGTTATAATTGGCGTTAATAACGGCAGGTAATAAAAACTCTTACCGGTGGAGGGTTCGCGCCCCGTTAATAAACGTCGCGTCGGCCGTCCGAAGCCGTTGAATTACTACCTCGGGGCGGAACAACGTCCTGAGCACATAATTCAGTGCGGTGTAATTTTCTCGGGGACGCCTCTTGGTGTGTTTGTATTAGCGAGAAAATATGGCGAGCGATAAGGCATGTTCAGTTGCTATCTGCGGTCGACGGTCGCCGGTGGAAGCGTGCGTGGCCGGCTGGTTACCATCGACGGTCATCATCGAAACCAATTTTTTTTTATATCAGGCGACGATCAGCGGAGTCCTGGATCAGGACTGATAAAACGGTTTTCCATTACCGCTTTAAACAGTTGACAAAAAGGACGAAACCTAAATCCTCCAAGGAAGGAAATTACATAAAAATGGAGTTGAAAATTCAAAACCTTTTTCCATATAATATTTTCTCCGTTTAATTAAACTTTATAGTATTGTGTTGACATTGTTTAAAGCCAAAGTTTAAAGCCAAACAAATTAATGATTGTACGTTTCAAAATATATACAGTGAGCGGCAAAATTATGGATGGAATAATCTTATTTATTAAAATTGTGTTTGTTTTTTGTTGATATTATTTCACTTTTAGGATGATTTTTTTTCGAATACTATGTAATATTCAATATTTTAGTGTTGTCATTTGGACAATTAAAAGATCTATCGAACTGGCTAATAAAATTAGGGGTTTCCATTATAAAAAATGTCGATGACGTCATTCCTCCAAAATCAAAAAGTGTAAAATTTTAAATCAAGTTGAAAATTGTGTATTTTTTAAAAAGAAAATTTACCTGTTTGGGCATTTTTGCCAAAACAAAATATTTTCAGTTTTAATAAGATTACTCCATAATTTTGCCGCTAACTTTATTTATCAGCTCTTACAAACGCGGAAATTAATCGATTTTTATTTGTACACGTATTTTCTCATAGTAGGCATTTCAAATAGTTTTCCAAGTTGAGAATATCCAAAATTTGAGAAAGAGCTGGAAGGAACTGATTTTTCTGAGTTTTGCTTAATTTTTATTTTTTTTTGATTTTCCAAGAATCTACATTGCAAAATAGACAATATTTTTGCACAATTCGAGGCTTTTTTCCAGAACTGAAGACACCGAGGACGCATCGCCGGAAGATAGTGCCACCGCCCGCCAAGTGCTCGAATTAGAGCGAGAAGCTCTTGTTCTCCGGCGGGAGCTTCAGGAAACTCGCGCCAAAAAAGAAGAAGCCGACCAGAAGCTCCTGCAGTAAGTATCTAACTTCCATTTTGCACCAGTTAAAATAGCACTGTTCTGTCAGCATTGAGGCAAATTTCGAGATGATTTCTTGGTAAGATTTCTAAATGTTTTCTCATGTATGCAGCCCCAGATTTATGTCATTGACTTACATTATCAGTCTCGACAAACATTGAGTTAATTTCTCACAGTTCTCTTCATTTTTATCTTCTATGGTAGATAGATTGAGTTATAATTAGAACGACCGTTATTGATAATGATAAGCTTGGAAATTTTTGAATTTGGCATTTTTGGACAGGTTGGATAAGAAATTGTCCAATATCTTGCGACGAAATGATATTTGCACGTCGGATGCTTCCGAAGATGGTAAAACTAACTCAATCGACTCCATTTCGGTGACAACTACATCGTCGATTTCACAGGCCGTTCCAAGAGTCACCTTGTCAGGTCCAGTCACTGATTTATGATTGGTTTATTTCAATGTTTGATATTAGCAGCAATACGTTTTGATAGATTTTATTTTAACATATTAAAAATAATAATGAAACATTTTAACGTTATTAGTTGATGATCACAACTGTCGGTCTTCTGAGTAAATATTAATATTATTTATATTGTATTAAGTGCTATTTTATCAAACTTTGGAATTTCAGATATAACCGAACATTAAGATACTGATGACGAGAAATAAGGTAAATATCATATTTTTTATTGTAAATCTACACATGCATGTCTAGAAAATTATGTTCATGTGTATTTAGAACGGTTTGTAATCTTTATATTTATTTTTTATAATTTTTTGATCGCCAAAAATTCTAAGGTTGTGGAAACATTCCATCCAATATGATGTAAAATATAGGGAATAACTGTGCCTTCTTCGAAATTAAACGAAGATTTTTATTCAATTGTATAACAAACGCTTTTTACTTTGTCATATTTCTTATCCGCCTGAAATATTTAGGTATTTGGATTTATCATAATACCTATGTAACGGGTGTTTTTAAATTTGGCGCCAAAGCTGTCCATGAAAGTTTGAATGTGAAGGAACAATCGTATTGAAAGTTATTAATCTGACATTTCACACCTCTCTAGGCGTCTTAAAAATATAGTCACCCACTATGATGCCAAATTAAAAAAAAACACCCGTTACAATAATAATGATTTTTTATTCATTTATTCTGCCATAGCTAAGATGTACAATTTTTTTATTTGTTTTGTAACACTGCCTAACTCAAGTAGGAATCAAGTACTTAAGCAAGGCGTAATCGATAATTGTTTACTTGATTGAATAACATTCCAATGGGATGGCTAGATTTTATTTTTAGTTGAAAAAATGCAGTCATTTTAGGATTTTCCGAATATTTGATAAGAAAATTACTCCATTTGATATTATTAATAAAGTAATTTTTTTTTTGTTAGATATATTTTCTGAAATGACTGTAATGGTGTAAAACATGACTGGTGCATCAGAATTTACTTAGAATAGTGATGTTTAATCCAAAAATAATAAATACTTATATTTTTCTAACATATGCTCTTTGTTTTTCTCCTTTTCCCCCAAAATAACACGTCGGTGAGAAACTCTTCAGTTGTTGAAACATGGATGTTATAGATACGTGTTAAAGATAAAAGGAAAAACAGTCTTAAGGACATTATCCTTTTATAAGGGTTACGACAGAGATAAACAGTTAGGTTTTAGTTGGACGATACTCGTTTTTGTCTGAATTAAATACAATTTCCTTACCAATTAGTAAAAATGGGAAATTCTTATTGAATTATAAATGGGACCTACCACATCACAGTGGGAGCGTGTTATTGTCACGTGTAAGGCACGCGGTCAGAACTACCCACTTCCGGTAGACGCAGGAAGTATACTAGCGTCATTCTATACTCCTCAAATAATTTACATAATTGCGTTATTGTTTCCCAGGTTAAGGGGTGGCTCTACTAGGTAACCCTTTGCGGTAAAAGGTTATTACTGGACTGACCTGACGATAACGGAAATTACCGGAAGACGAAACCTGTTCATTTGTAATCAGCAGGAAATAGCAGAGGAATACACATACAGGAAATTTTCTTCCAGGAGAGTTTTATTTGATAATAGTCTTTTGTTAATTACAATTATTAATCAATTAAAATTGAACATAAATAAAAAAAAATGAGAACTACTATTTGTCTACTCGTATTTTATAATATCTGAAGATTATTTTTGATGCTTTGTGGATGCCGATTATGTGCTTTGTCGTTTTCAAAATGTTCAGTCCGGATCCAAAGTAAATAATTTCACCTGGTGGTATATTGTTTTAAGGGTTGATGTATTTAAATATCAAATATTTGTGGGTTCGAGCTGGACCACCCATGGAGGTTTCACCGAGGTGTTAACTAGCTCCTTCGGTATTTTTATGCATGGTCCCGACTCCCAATGGAAAAAATATCTGGTTGCATTAACACGTTTTTATACACCATCTAGACTTTTATTATGACTAAATTCGAATTGTCTTGTGAATTAAGACCGACTTTACGGTTTTAATTGCAATGTAAAAGTTGCTGAGTTTGACGTGAAACGGAAATTATAATTCAGCGATTGAAAATGGAAGGCAATTAGCGAGCAATTTGTGAAAGAATAATTCAATAAAAGTGCACCGAAAAAATATTTACAAACGAAGTATGTACAAAAGCCTTATAATCTCAATTTTATGAAAAATATTAAAGCAAACACTGCCGGAAATGTCTATAGACAGAGAGATTGCCGATCAAAATATAGAGAGGAGGAGATCACTGACTATCGACTTTAAATATTTACACTTGTTTTTATAAGCGAGAAAATGAGTTTAGAAATAAAGAGACAACGCTCGTTTGCAATGAGATTTCAATTAAAACGGGACACTTTTGGACGCGTTTCCCACAATAATAATCTGGTGCAGTCGCTCCTAATAGCACTTTGCCATAAACATCACAGATTTAATTTATAGAGCTTTGCATCAGCTTTCTCTTTATGTCTGTATTAAGTCACTATATTAAATGTGCATTTTTTTAAATCTCCGAATCTTTGAATAACAATTTAAAAAATAGCGTATTTTGAAGAGTTTCTAACTAGTGACTGAGTAATTTCATTCACTTGAAATTTCCCAGATCGTAATCTGTAGGATGTCTACAATTCTCAATGGCTCTTAAAATGCCAAACATAATGAGAGGCAAATTTTAGTATACGAATATATACTCGTATATGATGCTGGTTCAACGAGGTGCGATTAAAGCCCACACAGCATTTTCTTCTGGCATACAAATTATGTAAGTCATTCACGAGAGAAGTGTTTGAGGGGCACAAAATATTGTACAGTAAAAGTGTATTTATAAAATCATGATCGACTTTTTATGCCAACAAATTGGAGGTCAGTAATCCTTTAAAACAACTTTCAGTTGAAAAAACATTTCGAGGTAAAAAAGAGGTGTAGCAAGGATTTAGAATAATTTTTGAAAAATCTGAGACTATTTCATACTAGGGCTTTTTATCGATATTTTCATTAATTGGATAGATACACCATTTTTAATACACATTAGACAAAAAATTTTGTGAAATGATTTAACTATTAACAAATTATTAATATCCAATGACTAAATGACGGCGTGAAGTCGGTTTTTACGGGCCATTTTAATAAATCCATGATCTTTGAAGCGTGGAACGACAATACCGTAAACCAGGTGCACGTCAGTGAATAATAAAATAATTGGTCAATGACTTAACAGAATCACACTGAGTTATCAGTCGATATCAGTCTAGCTGTCAACGATCGTCGCGATGAGTCGGTAATTGGGTGATATTTCAGCTAGGCTTTGCTAGGGGATGAGGCCCCCACGTGCTGAACAGTGACTAAGCTTGTACAAACATAGAAGCCCCGAGACAGATTGGCAGTACTTACACCAACACAACCAACGTCGAAGAATAACACAAATGCAACAATTGCGTCCGGAGATTGGGAAATAACACGTAGAAAGCTGATTTTTCAGGAGAAAACGTCTCAAGGATGGGTCAGGTTTTGACACACATAACTAATACCTGCGAGGTTATTGAATATTATTTTTGAGTTGTGTTATGATAGGACGGTTAGGTGTGGCTTAGGGGGGTCGGCACGTACGCAAACAGCGGCGGCCACCCTTCAAAATCCTTTTAATCAAACTATCGCACCATTGAATCAATTAATAATATTCGAGGATTGTTAATGGATGATTTTTACCGCGTGATGTGCTAAAACCGAGTGCGATGATGACATAAAATTCTCCATTTCGTACCAGAAGATGTTGAAAGCTTTTGTATGTGTGTGGTCCATAAAAGGAGTGCTGAAGAGTCTTCAGCGCGGCGATTGTCTCGACTGAATATGTTCGAGTGCTACTTTATTTCTGATGGAAGTGAGCACCACGAAACGTTTTCAAATTCATTCCTCACAAATTGTCAGAGATTTATATTGCCGTGACATTTGATTCTCGCTGTGGGAGCCCCTTGGAAGTTTTGGAGACATGTGATGATTTTGGTACAGACAATGCCATACGGTTATAAAGTTTCCAAACCCACACATTCCTATTAATCCCGAACTGTAAAATGATTTTTTATCGACATGGAGTGGGAACGGCGTTGAGTGCTTTTTTATAATGGCCGAACAGTAGCACTCTTTGTTTACCAAGATGATGCAGGCTGAATGTGTGAATTGATAAAGAATAACATGTTTTTTTAATGAACGTGAAGAGAATACCACACCTGACAAATCTTAAAAATACGGGAGCTTCTCCACTTGCGCTTTGTTTGTTTCCATCATCATGGTTTTATAACATTTGTTTAAATTAAGAGTAATATTGTTCTATTTGTTTGTATCGAGTTTATTACTTTGTTTATCTTGCGGTCGGGACAACAAAGAAAGGATAAATTACTTGTAACAGCATATCAAATATTTTTCAACCTTCTACACCGTAGGGAATGACATAATTAGCTTCCAATAAAACGTAATTGTCCCACCGGTAAGTGTATTTAATCTCAGTGTCAATTGCGTTATATTTTGCAAGAAGATCAACAAAGTGTTTAATTCAAGTTTTCCTATACGGTATAGATGCAAAAATAGGCCACTACCTATATCTCTATTAAGTTGAATATACGAACGGAAAATCTTTTTTTAAATTCGGATTAGAAAGTATTTTTTCTAGTGGTAATATTGATTTGATGGACCATCATGACGTTGTACTTTTTTGCGTCACTTAATGACTACTTACGGTATTTATTTATTTAGGTATTGACCTATTTAGATATGAAGATTAATAATCATGGTCACTTCTTGAAGTAAACAGAGGATTGATATACCAGACACCTGTATACGAGAGGTGTTAGCAAAAAAGCTTTGATATGAAAGAAAAGATTTTTAATGGATATTTTGTCTTAAGTTGAATCATTCTACCAAATTTAGCAAAGGTCAGTTGTGTACAATGAATGTCAAAATCATTGAACCATGACGTATTTATACCTAAGTGTTTTCGAACCAGGTAGGTATCAGTGTTTATAATACATCAAATTAATAATTATTACTGAAAATACTGTATAGAATACACTGATGCTCATACGGTGTAAAACATGTTTTTAGTTTATTGACTGTTCAACTTTGAGCAAAAATTATTATAACGCCTTTAAAAGTACCTACCTAATGAAATTATGGCTTCGGGCGTTTTTTATAATGCAGCCTGTATACATATTGTCCGCCACAGTATATTCGAGTTTATCTGCTTTATTTTATGGTTTATAAATGTTTTAATGAAATGATTTGTTAATAATGTCCAATATTGTGTACTGAATTTGAAAAATACAGTCAACTCAAAAAAAACGAAATTGATTTTTTACAATGTAAATTTGGTTTGCTAATTGGCTGTCAGTATCATTTAAGGAAAAATAATTTAACCAAAGAGAAAATAAGAGTGATGAGGGTTAAATTACACAAGCTTAATCTTCACACTATAGTAAATGCTATGTTTAATACCAGAAAAATCACTTTACCTAACGCAAATAACGCAGAGGAAAAAATAAAAAATAAATCATTAAAAAAATACAGGGTAAGTCATACAGAATAAAGACTAACCGATTTTCAAAATACATTCTCAGATACTATTAATAATTATTGATGTTCTGTTTTAAATTTTTCAAAGATATAAACATTGCCAGTTTTTATAAATTGAAGGCGTCCTACAGAATCAGCCACAGTATTTTATGACATTTTCAATGTATCAAGACCATTCAGTTTTTTTGTCGTTTGAGAACATTTTGAATTTAAGTGAAAAAAGTGGAATTAATGACAATGCCAAAAATGAAGGACATATCAACAACCACTTTGATTTAAATTTAATAATCTATATTTTTCAAACAAAAGTCAAGGTGTCTGTGAGAATGTATTTTGGGTTGCGTCTGAAAATCGGTTAGAGTCTTTAATGTTGTATTGACATCATACTAAAGCTATTTTCTATTTCCATTTTTATAACTACTTGTCTTGGTTAAATGATTACTTTGCCATTTCTTTACTCCAAAACACTCAAAAATGTTCAGTAATGTCTGCTTTTCAAACTGAAATGGAAATGGAAAAACTTAATACTCTGCTAAAGAAATTAATAAACACAATTTTTGTGGAACACTAGTTTTGGGCTATTCTAAAGACAGTATGAAGGAAGCTTTTAATTCCATTTCTCTAAAATAACTTGAAAATATAAAGTTTTAATTGACAGGTCACAATTACATTATATTTTGACAAATTGTGATACATATATTTTCGCGTAATTTTACACTTACTTATATAGGGTGCGCCAGAACTCGCGCCCCACAATTTTTTTTAAGTAAGGTAAGACACCAGGAATGTGAAAAAAATGTTTAAAAAATTTTATCTCTCAAAAAATTTTGACATTTATTTTTTGACATTTGACATTTTTTATATCTATTTAATGGTACTGATAATCTTGTATATGTTTTTTTACAATTATTTAGTAAAGAGAAAAATTTTGCCAATAAAAGCCACTAATAACATCGAACAGAGTTACAATTTAGGATACAGCTTCCTTATTTCCTCTTTTAATAGCTTATAGCAAAAAAACTTGGAAAATTATTTTTCCAACAAAAATGAATAGCGTTAAAGTGCAAACTTTAAACCCTCATATTTTTATAGATAAAAATTTTTTAACATTTTTTCCATGTTCCTGATATCTTAGCGAGTTCCGGCGCACCCTGTATAATCACTTAGAATCACTTGTGGGTCTAATACTAATTAGTATTAGGCCCACAAGTTATTCCAACATCAGTCAAATATATTTTTTATACCGGGTGAATCAAGGTTTATTCGCAGCCTAAAACAGCCTTTTTTAATAGCATCACTATAATTGTAAAAAAATTGTAGATAATTTTTTGAAATAGAAAAATATTTTGCCCAATTTTTGTGTTGTGGTGGGCACAGTAATTATAATTTATCTCTTTGGAAAAATTTTATAGATGTTTATCCTACCTTACCTATAGTTCGTCACCAAAAAATTATATTGTCTTTATGTACAAAATCATTTTATTTAATCAAAACAACAATCAAACAAATATGCCTGTTAAATATTCAACTGTACATTCAATATTTGTCGTCATCAAACGTCAGCGCAACAATATCAAAGCAACTTTTTTAATCCATTGTTTCTTCACACATAAAAAGTTGATCTAAAACAATCGTAAAATTTTATACAGTGTGTTTTGCTGCAACAAAGAGATAAAGATGAACATCTCAATAGAGCAGCTGTGCAGCTTACACACTTAAATCTCCTCAAGCTCCGTATTTCTAAAAAGTGTGTTAGTCTATAAATAAAAATCAGTGTCGTCCCGCATATTCATGAGCCACCCCATACATCACCGTCGGATGCACCCTGGATGGCTATTAAAATCTAGTTAGCCGGTATCTCGGGCTTGCAGTCCGTCGGACAATCTGCAGATCCAGCTAAAAATCACGCGCCGCTTCCATCCATCCTCTTCGCCCCCTTTTAATCCAAGATCTCATCCACGGCTCCATCTAGATATCGGGCCAGTTTGGTGTCGATGGCAAATTATTTTATCCTGGCAATATGTCCTCTCACCAAACCCACGTAACCCTGATAAGGGAATGATATCCGATCGATTCCGGGTTTTTTATTACTGGGAGATATTATATTGGGGATTAGATGGCATATGCCACATGAAGGTTTGGTTTAGTGTTTTTATCCATTAAGCGGAATATGATCCCTTGGTCGGGCCAAAGTTGGCTTTTAACGAGGATGCTGTCTTTTGTCAGGCTTCGATTTGGAAGGATTTGACGATGATTGTGATTTTTTGCGATTTTGTTTATTTAGTTTAGATAATTGTCGCAAATTGGGTTTGATATTGATTTAACCGACAGATATTTGAGTATACATGCCGGAACAGCACATTCCTCGTTTATCTCTGCCGCACCCAAATTTGAATTAAGATAAATTGTGACTCATAGATTTGGAAATTTTGCAATATACAGGAAAACTTTACATTGAAGATAAATAAGACTTGCAAACATTCAAATCTAAATTGATAAGACTTTATAAAACTGCAGCAACTTTGCAAGTTATAATATTTAAATCGCACTTTTGCGTCATTATTCATTAATCAATAATACTTTTTTTACGAGTAGATTGTAAATATATTTCTGCATTTTAGTAATAGAAACTTCTACTTTCTTTAATTTACCTAATTTCCAATTCACACAGAATATATCTAATGATTCTTTCTATCGTGAAATATCGGAAAGTTAATACGATATTTCTTCCACTTTTATTTAGGTTTCTATACGATTGAGTTGGACAAAGGGATAAGGACCTTTTGGACTTTGAACATCATATTATTTTGTTTACTCTCTTCATGAATCACATAATATCTTTTAGAACTAGTTGGATCTTGAGTGACTGTTATGGCAGTATTTGTATCTAATTGCCTTGTTTTCATCATCAAAACTATTGTGACTCAGCCATGCTGAGTACCTACCTGATGGGACATAATAACAACATAACAATAACAATGAGAAGTTGTAACTTAATGTAATTTTTAAAATAAATGTTGGCACTTGTTCTTAATATTAGTTATTGCTTTAAATTTATTGTTATCAACTATTGAGTCAATTTATTTTTTATTAATAAAATTATTATTTATTGATTTAAACTTACGAGTTACTCTCATTTTATTTGTTTTGTTTTTCGAGTTTGTTTATCATCAAAGTTTTGAAAAAGCTTTATTCTTGCCGAATCGATTCCTGTAGTAGAGAATGGATCATAATGATAGTGAAATTATTTATTAAGTCAGTACATAATCAGCGAGTGTTTGACAAACAACAATATTTGCTTTTTTATGCGAACATTCACAATGACTGAGGATTAGAATTCCACCATTTAAATATATCAATAAACTGCATGCACAAGCACATTATCCTTTTGACTATAATTTGTTGTTTAATTTATATTTTCGTAATTACATTATGACACCTACCTCAACCATGCTCTAAAAGCAATTCAATTATCTATTGTTCTGGACACGCTGCTATTAACATCTTGTTAAAATATATCGGTGTTTATGTTGCACTAATGGTTACATACGATACACAAACATAATTAAACTTAATTTGTCACTTAATCGTTAATTTATTTATTATAGGAATAGCGGACAACTTTCAAGAAAAACATGTTCAGTGCTATTAAGGTTTTTTACTTACTCGATTTTATTTTTCTTCATAATGAGTGTATACGAGTGTGTAATGAAAGTATTTTATTTATAAACTGTTTCACTACTCGTAGTTCCTTATTTGTAGAAAAATATTTTATCTAAATTTTAGTTCAAAGTTAGCAATTAACTTGCTGATGCTTTTTTTTCAATTCATTTTTTTTTTATTAGGTACTTTTATAGAATGGACGCTGTATGATTATTGATTAAAAAAAGTGTTCTTTAGTTTTCCATCATTTTTTACTTTGTTTTGTTATTCATATTTAAATATTATAGGTACCTATTTACCTACATTCTACGAAATAACTTAATTTGGTAGTTTGAAATAGAAAATATAAAGTACCTATAGAAATCACGTGCTGACGATATAATTATATCGAAACGTGAATTTTATCTCATTGAGTTTTATATAAGTACAGTTGGAGACAAAATACTTTGGTCGTCAATGTCACTTGAGTGACATTAAATTGTAAAGCATGCTTTAGGACTGTTAACCTTATTTTTAGCTTATTGTCAATCATATTTGACAAGTTGTACATATTTTTGTTAGAAAAATATAATAGCTGTCATTAATTTGAAATTGTCATTCATTAAAGCTTGAATTACATTAAAGTGTCAGAAACGTGACGACCAAAGTATTTTGTCTCCAACTGTACCTAGGTATAAAATACGTAGATAATACTGAAAATAAAATTTCCTCCATTAAATAAATATTTGTATATTTATTTATTCACCACTGCCTTGGAATTTTGTTACAATTTACATTTTTCATGCTGTGTGTCACTTTTTTGCAATAGGTAGGTAATAGCATAAATTGTAATTTATAATAACGAGAAGGTTAATTATATAAAATTTTGAATATAGTCTTTAATAATGGATTAATATAAATTAAAATAATTGTAATTGTTCATATTATTTGATGCAAACAAAATTACCTGATGAATCCATTGTCGGTCTCACGAACAAAATAAAACACTGTAGTATATATAACTCAACAACTTTTATTGCATTTTTCTTTTTAAAAATATCAAACCGAGACAACTGAAATGAAGATTATGGCAAGAATCGAAACAAGTTGACGGGCAACGGATGGCCGAATCGAAATTATTAGTTCCCTCATCGGACGTGTGCGGCGTTTAGTGACATATGGGCGTGTCTGACCGCTTCCCCTCAAGTTACTACGCTGTCGATTACGCATGGACCAATCCGAGCCCTGTTTAAAACGCCCGTCGTCATGGCGACTCAAGCGTTTGGTGTTGATTGGGCGGCAAGTCGCCATGGCAACCACCCTCCCCTGACGATTCTGTATTTGACTACCTAAAGCTCAGGGTACTTCACATCGGCTTGTAGTATCTAAGTAAACAGGCAGCAAGGAGTATTTGTTTTTCCAATCAGTGCTGGTTTGGAATACCTAAAGTGTTAACTTGTTTGTGGATCCGCTCGTGATGTAAACAATGAAACAAAACCTCCGATGACGAGTTAAGATCATATTGATTGATCCGGGTTTAGTGTGTACTAACTGAGTGCAGTGCGTCCCATCCGAGTGCAATAACAGTGCAATGCCAAAATGTTGACTCAGAAGTTATATTCCGACTCAACGACGATGGCGACTTCGTCCAACGCCATGTCCCCGATGACTCCCACGTACTCCATGAACTCCATGTCCTGCGTGTCGATGCCGTCGATGAACTGCTCGCCCCAGGCCGCATCCTTCGGCTCCAGCATGCTCAACTCAGGTATGCCCGGAAGCATGTCGATGAACGGCAACGGCATGACCTCCTCGTCGATGGGCTACACCACCATCGGCTCTCCCATCTCTAACATGAACGCGGCCTGTATGGCCACCCCCATGGCCACCATGAACACCTACGGCACCGTCGGCACGCTCGGTCGGGGCGACCTGGGCGGCGGCGACACCTCGCCTAACACGGCCCTGCAGCGGGCCCGAGCCGACAAGACCTACCGTCGCAGTTACACCCATGCGAAGCCTCCGTACTCCTACATCTCCCTCATTACAATGGCTATTCAGAACAGCCCCCAGAAAATGCTCACTCTCTCCGAAATCTACCAATTTATCATGGACTTGTTCCCGTTTTACCGACAAAACCAGCAACGCTGGCAAAACTCGATCCGGCACTCCTTATCGTTCAACGACTGCTTCGTCAAAGTTCCGCGAACTCCGGACAAGCCCGGAAAAGGCTCCTTCTGGAGTCTGCACCCGGACTCGGGCAACATGTTCGAGAACGGCTGTTATTTGCGACGACAAAAGCGGTTCAAAGATGAGAAAAAGGAACTTATAAGGCAGACCCACAAAAGTCCCTCGCATTCTGTGGACAACAGTAACAGTTCTGAGAAGAAAACGTCGATACAACACGGTGATGACTCCCATAAAAATCACCATTTGGATAAAAACCCCGAAAACACCTTGGGCACAATGTTGAGCATCCACCCGTCGAAACTGGACGTAGAGCAAATGAATCTTCTTCACTCGAATGATCTGAATATGCATCAGCAGCATCATCAGCAGAATATGTCGCATGAGGAGCTCTCGGCGATGGTGAATCGGTGTCATCCGCTGAGTCTGTCGAGTGAGCATCAAGCGATGCTGCATCACAACCCCATGAGTCATCATTTGAAACAGGAACCGTCAGGTTTCACCTCCTCGAATCATCCCTTTTCCATAAACAGGCTATTACCCACCGCTGAAAGCAAAGCCGATATAAAAATGTACGCAGATATGCACCAGTATGGATATAACACTTTGAGTCCATTGCCGAGTTCGGTGCATTCCCACTCGACCATAGGAAACGATTATTACAACAGCCCCTTGTACCATACGTCAGCAGGGACGACGAGTTTGTGACAGTATCCTCTGGCATAAGAGAAAGCCTCGAATAAATTTATGATGTAAATATAATCTGATTGTATAAAACAATACGTTTTTATTTAACGTGCATTGTAAATACTAGATTTTGTTAGTGTTTTAATGCAACTTTTCAAGCACTCAATTTTGCAAATATCGTTTGCTTAGATGTTATCTATGTCGCGCGAGTGAGTATATGAGGAATTTTTTTATCATTTTCCGCGAAATCTCGTCGTTACGTTCGATCTGCTAGGTTTTCTATTAATCTGTTTCCTCAAATAAGAATATGTATTTCTTTTGCCTATAAGTTTCTTACTTTTTTATTTATATTACCTATTGTATTCTGATGTGTTTTAATTACGAACTTTGTTGATAGTTATGTACAAAGTGATTGTAATAAATGTACAAATTTCTTAAAGAATTTGTGATGTTTCAAATATGATTTATATCGAATACTTGAAATTTGTATTATACATACCTAACTATAAAAAAGGTACTTACTAGAAGTATTTTAAAAAGGTTTTTAATATAAGGAAAATGTGCAACTGCGAACCAAAATTTGTACATAAATTATAGAAAAATGTATATTATATGATGTAAATGTATTAAACTGACTTTTTGTCACAATAAATGTCAATCTCTTTAATGATGTCTTTTATTTGTCTTTATATTAATTTTATTTTACTCCTAGTTTCTGTCCGTTCTTTTGTTTTTCCTATATTATAAAATTCATGTCATTGATGCTTGTGTTAAATTTGGTAAACAAAGTAAAAATGAATGGGCAAATACTTGCTTTGTAACCATCGTAGTAAATAAGTAATATTTATTTAGTTATACACTTACTTATACAAAATTATACTGTTTAGTTGAATAATTTTCTAAAAAAAGAAGTTATATTATCGAGGCTCGTACCTATCTAATAATAATTATTTGTTTTGAGTTGAATTAGTTCAATTACCTATATGACAAAATAATTTTGAAATAATCTTAATTGACGATAACATTAATACAACAAATTCTTGTAATTACAAGGACTTGAATTAGGTACCTAATGCATTTTCGTCTAACGAACTGACCAAATTTTTTTATTGGTATTTTTTTGTTAACTTGATAATATTTATTAATTATTATTATCTTAAGATGACAGAAATTGTAATAAATATGTAGGTAATTAAATTTTTATTGAACTGAAAAAAATATGTACTTATTCACGATTAGGAAACATTTTAAACCTCGTCACACATTGGTCACCCTAATAATATATAATAAAAAAATAAAAAGATATTTTTAATGTTTAAGAAAATAAGGACTTTTCATAATAAGACTAAGGACATAATATTTTACTACAAACAAAGAAAAGAAAAAAAAAATACTTTTTTAGCAATTTATTTTTTAATCTTTGTTTAAATCTTCTCAATGGCACTTCATTCATTGTAAGTGAGAATGAAATATTCGTTCAAACTGATTACATCTGTTAAATACTTAGGTTTACCTTTACAAAAAAATACATTTTTTACAAGAACTCAAACAATAGGTATTTATATTAGCATTCATCCTTCATATCAAGATATCCTTTTTATGATGCTTCGACTAGGTTTTTACATTTTTCTATTCATCAGTTTCACTTCTATGTATTTTGAAGAATATTAATTATTAGGTATATTATTACATATCGCATGTTTTTTGTGTTACCGCAACGATTTCTGTGAAGTTTGTAGTAATCGCATATCACTTATTGATTATTATTTACTGGTGCCGACATTTTGATAACACATAAATTTAATGGCTGAAAGGCGGATATTTATTAACTAATAGACTAGTAACAATATTAGATATTTGTGTAATTTCATATAACATTAATGAATTTGGGACTTCCGAGAAAAACATCAGTTTTTAGAAATTTAAACTGGACAATAAGAAAGTCTCTAATAGGATTAATCGCAGCTTTCTACTATTTCTAAGCATTTTGCAAACCTATACAACCCCACGATTTCAATTCTCTTTTTCTTGTCCTGATGCTCATCAAACACAAATGTAGAGTGAAAAGTTTGTTTAATCAATTGCTCGTTGTGGGTTAATTATTGTTTTTTTTTTTAAATCTAAATTACTTACAAAAACTGTATACTGTACCTATATACTAAAAAGTCTGTTTTTGCGGATATTTATACGTTTAACTATATCCTCGAAAACATTCTGTATAAGTGATTAAGGATAATAAAACATTTCAAGAAATCAAGTAACTTTGTAAAAGATACACATATTAACGGTTTAATTATGAAACTTTCAATATTACTTGAACTGTATAAAAACGAAAAACTATACCTAAGTCTCTGTTGTTATAATACACCTAAGTTTTTTAGTTATACAGAGTGTTTCACGTAATTTTACGAGGCCTGCGCCTGTAAGATGCAATCAATAACACATATTCCGATACGAACTCGATTACAAATTTTGAAAAATTAGATAATCTTCTCTAGTTTGTTCACCCTTTCAAAAATTACAACGTTTTTAGTTAGTTAGTGATTAAGATAGATAAACTACAATCATATTCATGCCGTCTCTTGATAGAACAAATGATAATTGTTTCTGAAAAACTGCAGTTTATGACTATTAATGAAACAGTGATCAGTTTGACAACTACTGTCATGAGTTTCCAAAAATTAAATAATTAAATGTGTATTTTTATATCCAGTGTTCTGTGACTTTTGTATATTTGGGTGCGTACATTAAAAATTAAAGTTACTGTACTTAAGTTTTTTTAATTTTGAAGATGTTTTCTGCTAACTCACTTTCAAATTATTTACGCACACACTATACATTATGGTTTATGTAAGGTACCTAAGTATTTGGTGTATAAAATTTGTTTCAAATTGTTATGAACTGGACAAATTTCACCACCAATATAAGTACTCTATTTTATAAGTGATTTATTGTAGGCACTTATTTATTATCCGAAAAAGTAGTAGGTGCAATATTTTGTGCTGTTTGTAATTTTTCTAAAAATTGTTACAAAATAAATTCCAATCGTCCCTATAGAAAAGTTTATTCAAGTGATAAAATATGTGCGAAAACAATGTTCTACAAGTCCGAAACAATGTTTTTACGTTAAAATTTACTACTCGTATGCATTTGTAGTTTTTTTTATTTATTTTTAATGTGTAGGAAGTTTCTAAAAATGGAGAACGAACGTAATAAATTAGTACTGGTAGCAGCCATTGAAAAAATAGCTGTGGATATATTCAAATAAAGTACAGGGTCTTTCGTTCTTAATTTTACAAATTTAGACAAGTAAACAAAAGTTTTCTACAGGAGTCTCACATAAGACTTTCGAGTTTAATATCTCTTTTATTTGTCAACGAATTTTTAAAATTTAAAATGTAGACAACTTAAAAGGTGGAGATTCAATTAGTAAATACAATTACCTTAAGATAAAAAACATAATAACGTAATAACACGTATTTTCTCAATTTAAAATTAAGCGAAATTATTATTACATTATTAAGCACTAACTAAAAAAAGACCTCTGCACAAAAATTAATTGAATCAGCAGAAATACGTGGATTATGTTGTTATTTGTTAAAAGTTAACTTTAAAACAATAGTTTACCGTCTCGAATTACCATTTTGAACAACCCTAAAAACTTGTGGTAAATTAAGTTAGAACACCTTTAGAATCTTTAGAATTCTATGATGCCAATGGTGGTACCTTCGAGCATTTTTTGTTGTACCTATTGAACTGGTTAGCGAGACCTGTTTCAAGGACAGATTTTTGCTTAGATATCACATTTTTTATTGGCGATTAACAATTTGAGATAAATTTTATGTAATTTAGCATTTTAAAAGGCATGTTAAAATCTCATTTTAAGGCCTAGGGTTGTGTTAGTAGGTGCAATATTATAATCTCTACCTACTAAATATTCTAGTTTTAAATTTCGTTAGAATCCGTTAGCAAATAATATTATAAATAATATTAAATCCGAAAGTCTTAGGTGGGGCAGCCTGTATAAAGATGTATCAAAAAATACTATATAATTCCTACATCCCCTGAAAGGGGTGCGTTTTTAATGGGTTTTTCTAAATATTTTAGAAACCATTATCTAGATAAAATCACAAAATGTGGTACAGATGATAACCTTCATCCACATTCGAAGATCATAATATGTCTAAATCAGGAGCGTCTCAAACTGGGGAGTATAGCGTAAAAAGTACCTACTCTAATTACTTTGCTCTAATTACTTTGGCTTTTCTCTATACTTGCATCTCTTGTATTTAATTAGATACAGGGTGCGCCAGATCTGGCGCCCCCAGAGAAATATGCCATGTAAGGTAAGATACCAGGAACATGGAAAAAACGTTAAAAAGTTCTATCTATAAAAATTTCGAAGTTATGAGAGTTTAAATTTTGCACGTTAACTCTACTTATCTCTGTTTGAAATATAATTTTTCAAGTTTTTTTGCTACAGGCTATTAGAAGAGGAAACAAGGAAGCTGTATCCTAAATTGTAACTCTGTTTAATGTTATTTGTAGCTTTTATTGGCAAAATGTTTGTACCTTTACTAAATAATTATAATTACTAAATAATTATAAAAAAACATATACAAGATCATCAGTATCATTAAATGGATATAAAAAATGTCAAATGTCAAAAATATATGTTAAAACTTTTTAACAAATAGAATTTTTGAAATATTTTTTCTGTGTTCTTGGTACTTGAAATGTTTTTTCTGGGGCGCGAGTTCTAACACACCCTGTAGAATAGACAGAATATTTTCTATCCTCTTTTTAAATTTGTAACAATAAAAACAGAACACCTTGTGTAGGTAATTGAGATTAATTGAAAAAATATTATTTTAATTGTGTAATGTGTAGTTATTCAAAATGTATAGTTTGATATATTACATACAACTATATTATATAAAATTTCTGTTGCGATTGTAAAAGCGTATATGCATCAGGCACGGACTTAATAACTGCTTAGATACTTCATCGACCACAAAATACGTGGGCTTTATCTCAAATACCCTGAGCCCGGTTTTGCCTAAACCCAAAATAAGCCACTTTCATGCTATATTATACTCAAGTTGAAAATCGTTTTATTGTGCGTAGCAGCAGTGGCCGGTTGCGCTCTTGCGTCGGATCGGTGGTCTCATCATTTCGTATTCCTTTTGAGTCAAAGCATGGATTTGCGCAAGTAAACGTTTTATGGTTTATCATTTTTATCTCTTTATTCTCCATTGTTGAACCCTTCTTTATATTTTAATGATTTGTTCATCGTTCTGCAAACAGCCTAATTTGTGTGGCTTCGTTCTTATCATTTTATTAAAACGCCGATTCGGAAAAGAGCTCAAAGGGCGATCGGGCCTCCCAGAAATCGTCTTCGGACATTTCACCCGAATAATTCATCGGCGTGTTTTCACTTTGGTTGTCTCTGCTGGAGGCTTTGGGGCTCGGGGTGGCGAGGGAGGCGCGCCTGCGCCCCCTATTCCGTCAATACCAGCACCAATCCGTGCTTGAAGAGCTCGCCGTGGTACGATAAAACGTAACTAACTTGATATAACCGCTTCCTATCTACGGAATTTCATACGACGGATCGCTGCCCGACGAGATCTGTTTACTTATACAAAATGGACGCCTCAAGGA